ATAAAGTTTAAAAAATATATACTTGGCCTTTATTTATTAAAATCTCAACGACATTTTCTTTTTAATATCACAATAATAAATAATCTTCCCAACTCTTTGAACGCATTATTTAAATTTCATTGTTTAAAGAGGATAATCCAGTAGAAAAAATGTATAGCCTACATTAACAACATTTTTTTTTAAAAATGGCATTTCGATTATCTTGCAAACTCCATTTTATTTATTTATTTTTGTAGTAGTTAAAATAAATTCTATGAAATTGTTACAAAAATGTCTTGAAGTATAGCGAAGAGGAAATGCTGAATTGATAAAAAGCAAGTTATATTATTTTGAAAATCTAAGCGTAAGTTCATACGATCAAATTAGATCTAGCCTCAAATTTTGCGTCAAATTTTTGTATGAACGTTCTATTTCGTGCGTGGTTTCTGTTTTTAGACAAAAATGGGAATTCGATCAAATAGTAATTTGAAAGTTGTGACAAGGCTTCACACGAAAATCGCATCAATTGTATGATCGAAAATTTAATCGTGTGAACTGCCACATAAATAAACATATTTTAATCAATTGAATATTGAGAGTTTACACTTTATTTTTAGACGATTTCGCTCACATAAAATAAGACATTAATAAATATATATGATGTATTTTGTAAACAACTCATATCTTCTTAACAAAATTATGCCAGATATATATATATACAATTTATACAAAATATCAATTTTGGAAATCAATCAAAATATATAGCCCTTTGAGCCCTTTATACAATAGAATGTTGTTAGATTCGTATTGTCTTTGGCAAAACTTGGAAATATTTAGAAATAAACTTATGCTTTTGGTTTCTCTCTTTCGTTATTTTATCAATTCTTTTTTGTGATGCATACTTTCTTTGGAAGGAATTTTTAAAATTTTAAAACACTTTTGTGTAATTTCATATTTTTTAAGTAGTTCATCCCAAAAACTTTTTTTAAAAACATTTCTATTCTGTACTATTAACAAAAATATATGTGTATAACGCACCTACCCAAGCAGAGACGTCACTTGACTTTTTGTGCCCCCCCCCCCCCCCCCCCCACCCCTGCTACTTTTCGGTTTTGTCCTTCCTTACCTACCATTAAATGTTGACAATTTAAAGTATTTCATATTTTTTAAGTAGTTCATCCCAAAAACTTTTTTTAAAAACATTTCTATTCTGTACTATTAACAAAAATATATGTGTATAACGCCCCTACCCAAGCAGAGACGTCACTTGACTTTTTGTGCGCCCCCCCCCCCCCCCCCCCACCCCTGCTACTTTTCGGTTTTGTCCTTCCTTACCTACCATTAAATGTTGACAATTTAAAGAATTTACAGCCCCTAAAGTATACGAGGCCCCAGGCAGCTGTAAGGTTTGCAGAGCCCACACAATGGCTCTGAGGTCAAGTGACACCTATCCTAACTGGCATGTATCCCGTCCCTTTCAATTTAAGCGCATAATGATGCAAAACTAAATGTAACTTTAACGACGTAAGAAATGCATTATTTCATTTTGAATTTATCAAAAATATTCCGGGGACTATAACGATTAAAGGGGTGAGACTAAGCTACGCAGGATCTATCGACCGAAAAAAAAAACCCATTCCTCTTAGGGCCCCCAACTTGAAGGAATTTAGATAATGTTGGGCTGGTGGAAGAGTTAGAGAGGGCCCTGTTAATAAGATAAGATAAGATTATTTTATTAATCCAAACTATGGAAATATTTAGAAATAGTATGACTATTTTTAGCGCTTCCCACCCAAAAGTCTGAAATGTCTTCATCAGTGGCGCTACATCTCATGTAGGGCCCTGGCCTGCTCCACCGCTACATCTCATGTAGGGCCCTGGCCTGCTCCACCGTTACATCTCATGTAGGGCCCTGGCCTGCTCCACCGCTACATCTCATGTAGGGCCCTGGCCAGCTCCACCATTACATCTCATGTAGGGCCCTGGCCTGCTCCACCGCTACCTCTCATGTAGGGCCCTGGCCTGCTCCACCGTTACATCTCATGTAGGGCCCTGGCCTGCTCCACCACATCCGTCCATTCGTATCGATCATGTCTTTCCGCCACCATCCGTGAAATCCCAGCTAGTGTAAGTCCTTCTTTACATCGTCGATCCATCCTAGTTTTATGCCTGTATATCACGTTTGCTGCTCTACAACCCGGAATCCTTTCAATGTGTCCTGTCCAGTGTAGTCTGTTTTTTTTTATTATTGCGACCATGGATCGTTCTTTGTACAACTGGTATGTACGGATATGTACGGATTTCCAAAACAAATTGTCTTTCACCAGACGATATATTTTCCTTAGAATTTTCCCCTATCATGTATTGACCAGGATATCTGCTTCTCTGGTAAAGGGACCAAGTCTCACTTGAGTAAGCTACTACTGGTCTTATGATAGTAGTGTATATTGACTTCTTTGTTCCCCTAGAGAGGTTTTTGCCTCCTATTAGCTTTTTTAGGCTGAAATAGGAACGGTTGTGTGCTGCTATCATTTCTTTCACCTCCGACATTTTTTCATTGTGCTCGAATGTAGCCACTCTCTCAAAGGTGTGTTTGTTTATATTGATGTTTCATCAGTGAGCGTGTTTCGTGGAGTCATCATATATTTCGTCTTCGCTTCATTTACCCCAAGACCATGCAGCTTTGACCGAGACATCTTCAGGTTCCCTAAATGCTTTAATGATATCATTGCAGTTTCCACCAAGTAGCGCTATATCGTCTGTGTGTGCCAGGAACTGCAGTGGCTGGCTTTATTAAGTTCCTGATGGTTGTTATTCTGTACTAACTCTGAAGAAATAGTTTGAATCGTTCCACTTGTGCTCACATGTATGTTTCTAATGTTTTTCTAGCGTAATGATGAAAAGATTACATGAATCTTTTTGTCTGAGGCCCTGATTCCTTAAGAACTCCCCCGAGTACTCTCCCTGTATTTTGATTCTACTTTTGGAGTTCGCCATCGTCATATTATGGATGAGCCGGTTAGGTTTGTTAAGGACTCCAAGTTCCTGTAGAGCAGTGGTCCCCAAACACCGGTCCGTGGATCAAATGGTACCGGGCCGCTCAAAGAAACATTAAATCATTTCCATTTTATAAGCTTGGAAGATTTTTCTGGATGATAAGTACGGATGTACGGACGCAAAGGCTCACACAGCAACCAGAACCATACAGGGGTGGGGGGGGCACTCCCCACCCCCCAAACTCGTACGTCCAAAGAGCTTTTAGCCCCTATCCCTATAAAAAAAAACAAAGACATCCAACAATTTTTATGGGTAATTGTGACGTCATGGGATAATAAAAAAAAAATGAATCGCCTGTTTATACAGTCGACAATTTGGCCAGCCCAATGGTCCCCATATTATGCGTCGCTCTGGGTGCCATGTTGCCCTCAGGCAGAGCCATGAGAATGGGACAAAGAGGGCAGTCACAGCGGGCACCAAATTATAAATCAAAACAATCCAAAATATAAACAACACCCCCAACTCCTCAGCGGGCCGCGGTAAAATTATCAAACGTTGACCGGTCCGCGGCGATAAAAAGTTTGGGGACCATTGCTGTAGAGCATCGTGCTATCATTAGCGTTAGGTTTATGCTATAAATAACCTCCCGTGGATTTGTGGTATTCTCTTCAAATTTTTTTTTTTTTTTTTGTAGGGAGGTGGGGGCCTCTTATATACTTGTAGTCGGTTTGAAATTTTAAACTGATGTCATTGAAATATATCTATTTATATATATATTTAAATGGGTGATAAATAACCTCCCGTGGATTTGTGGTATTCTCTTCAAATTTTTTTTTTTTTTTTTGTAGGGAGGTGGGGGCCTCTTATATACTAGTAGTCGCTTTGAAATTCTAAACTGATGTCATCGAAATATATCTATTTATATATATATTTAAATGGGTGACAGTTCGAGTTAACTCCATCGTAATTTTATATGCAAATATTAAATAATTTAATATAACGCTGTAGCCCTTTAGGTCTATTCTCTATGGCGGTGCTTTCCAGACTTTCATGTTGGCAACACTCTGTTTAGGCAAACATTACTTGGTGACACAATCAGTTGGTTTGGCCAGCCTAGCGGGAGTTAAACTTAAACTGACCTATTTTACTGGCGTTTAAACTGACCTATTCTAGGAATAACAGCCACAATCATTAAGAGAAATAACAGTGTATGATGATACAATGATACCACGTACCTCATGAAAGATTTCACTTGACAATTTTTAAAATTCAAAACAAAAGGCTGGGTTGTGGAGCAGGGTGGGGGAGCCGCGTTATGTAGCTGCGTGGTAGAGCCGGGTAATAGAGCAGAGTTTTGTACCAGGCTTTCGAGACCTTAATATTTTCCACACCAGGGACAAAACATTGTTGAGTTCTAATATGATTAATTGCTCTAATTTTTATAGACTTTTTCTCTACTCGCATTTCCAACTTGGGTGTTCTTTATTTTTTTACACACATGCCATTCAAAGATTTCTCGGGCAGTGTTCACCTTGGAACGACTGGAAAAGAATCCTGCGTTGACTTTTACCTGCTTCGAAGTTGAGTGAATGAGTGGGCCAGCTCAGAACCACCTTTTTTTTTTCTTCAGTTTTTGTATAGGTTGCCTAGTTGGGTCACTTCAACCAGGATTTTGTAAGTAAATCGTTGTACTTTTTACCCCGATAATTTAAAGATGACATTTTTAAAACTAAAAACAAGTTTAAACACGTTTAAAAAACAAAACTTAAGCCCAAAGACGAGTTAGGGCGCAATAAAAGGTCGAAAATCATTTCAATATTCTTAAAATGCATTGTGCAAAGAAAGTTGGGCAGAAAATATATTTAAATTTCGTCTACATTCAATTCAAATCCTTTGGCTTCGCTGACGTTGCAAGTCACATTGGTCTTGTTCTCATCCGCCGTTACACTTTGCTGATGCTCCCATTCAGAGGGGCAACCTAGGTTTGGCAAGGTTTTTAACAGTTTCACAACACAAGGCAAATGGCATGAAGTAACAATATTTCTTTAATTCAAAAGGCAAAAATTTAACGTCAAGACTACAGATACCAAAATCAGAATAACTTAACAACATAATTATATAAGCTCATAGATGGGACATAATTAGGTCAGACACAAAATGGCAGCATCACATATCATAGTGACATCATCACATATCATAGCGACAGCATCACACCCATGGCATAGCAACAAGACCTCCTACTGATCAGTTCGTCATACCCTACACTGAGAATACAACAACTGACTTATAAAGCAGAATAAATATGTAAAACCAGCTGAGCATGCATGAAAAATCTCACCACACATTTGCACACGACATCATGCCATATATATATATATATAGATATTATTAAGAGAATTTATTAACTTTTTTTTTTAAATTAAAATTTTTGTTTGTACTAATGACTATTCACAGAGAAACACTTAGATTGTTTGCAACAGTCAGCACTCACTAATTGATCAGTGATATTTACTAGTTACTAGACAGAATTCTCGTTATTAACTATGCTGTGGTTAATTTTAACTTGGCCTATCAACTACCTTCCCATCTCACCGTTTACTGGCAGGGAGAACCCTGACAAGGGTTTGGAGGCAGTGATCGTGGACCGGTGGACGGGTTTCAAAATTTCTCCACTGACTGGTGGACTAGCTTTGGGAATGCTCCGAGGACCGGTGCCACATTTATTAATTATATTTTAGCTTTATTCGACCATAAATATTCATGATTTGCGGACGGGCAGTGTAAGGCTCGTGGACCAGTGCTGGTTAGCAGACTACCATCTTGGGAACGCTACACTAAAGGGTAAATTTACTACATTTTAAAAGTCTATTGATTTATAGATATTTTTAACAACCTTGAAATTATTGTTTGCTGCTTAACAGATGAAAAAAAACATCGACATATTTCTATAAAATAATGATGACATGTGATAGGATTTCCTTGATGACTAAATGTCAATGTCATGTGACATGATGTATATGTGACATACATTTGATTACAGTTACAGGCATAGCAAAAAATGTGACCAAGAGATGTGAAACCATAAAACACTACAAGACAAGACACTTAAGTATTACAAAAGCCTTGTTGTTAGCAGGACAATGGAAACACTGACAATGGAAACACTGACGATGTGGCCAAAATGAGAATTGGGATTTGTTCTTGTCACAACTTCAAAAACAACACTTAAAATAGGGGGTTCTCAACATATGCCTTTGGCACCCCCAAATGCAAACATAATGCCCCAGTTAAGTTGTTTTACTAGAACCAACATCTCATGACACAAAATGTATCTGTCAAATATCAATTAAACATTTTAAGAAATATTGAAGTTAAATAAATTTATTTATTAAATAATTATAATTTTTTATAAGTGAATTTCAAGAAATATGAATAAATTATTTTAATACTATGTCATATGTGAAGTGACTAATAATAAAATCTGTGAATTCTTTAATGTCCATATTTGCCTAGATTTAGGTTTTCTGTAAAAATCTGAATAAAGAAAATATCTGACTGATAAATGAGTGGTGCTTGGACTGACAGACCTGACCTATGAGCAAAGAGTGAGCATTGTGTCGGAGCTTTGATGTGAGCATTAAAATTAAAAAAAAAAAACTGAAATGAGCTCAAATTGAGCATTACTGTAAAAACCAGTTGTTAGGGCTGAGTATAAGTTAAGTTACATTTACTGTAAAACCTGCGTTAAGCCAAATACAATTTTCGTTTCATTGTTGAACCGAGTCGTCAAACACTTTCAACACTTTCAAAATTCTTTTCTGTCAAAATCCTTAGGTTACAAAAAAAAAAACAACAAAGTTTTGATAAAAAAATTTCAAAACTTCATCAACTCTTATATTTCCAGAGTTGAAGAGCAATTTGTTCATTAGCACAAAAATACAAATACAACAATTTGTCGTCATCCAAATTTCTGTGAATTTTTAAAAAGAATATAGGAGAGCTTAAAAGTATATCAGTTGCCTGATGGTAGGACCTGAGAATGTATCGGTTGCTGTATCAAGATTTCAAGCACAGAAGCTTATTATATACATACATGCACAGTCAAGACATAAATATATTACGTAACACATGACTTCTTTTTAATACATTAAATAAAATGACTTTTTAAAAATAATTTATTGCCGACAAGTTTTTAGTGGAGGATTGTGGGGAAATCTGGTCAGTTTACATTTTCACACGCCTTTCTGGACGATCACCAGCAATGATTTAAAGATGATTATGATGAATGGTTAAAAAATGATTATCATAAATGATTTGAAGATGAGTATCATGAATGATATAATCACTGCTGACGTACAGCCTGAGCCACATCTAGGAAGCAACTTGTATACATTCTTCACTTGTATACATACATTTCAGATAAGTAGAGTGGTGCATCATATACTCAACAAATTCACGACTAAAACTCATAGCACAAAGGGTCTCACGTTGTTAATTATTTCCATTAGCTCAAGTTAGACAAGAGGTCCAAGAAAAAACTGCCAAAACAAAAAAGGGGGTGGGGCGGTGACGAATGGATGAATGAACAAAGAGTAACGAAGCTGTCATGGCTGAAACATGTCGTCTTACTGTTGTCAAATGTCATGTCCCTCATGACTCACCGGTCAAGCTAGATTGGTAAACACCCAGGCCACCAGGTATTGAAGTGGTGTGTCAGGGGGCTTATGTGGTCAGGTGTTAATCATCGGGACAGTTTATCAACATGGGTTTGTGGTAGGTGATGACTGGAGACACACACTGTTACAATAGCTTAACGTGGCATTCATTTTTTTTTTTTAGGGAAAACTTAACATACGTATTACACAACTTAATTTGTACATTCATATTTCTTCCATGTATCTAATACATAATTTGACAGTGTTTCCAGAATTTCAAAGACTTAAAAAATCAGATGGGCTTTACATTTCTAATAAAACATGTCTAAAAATAGAATCATATTTTGTAAATACTAAATTTTAAAGCATAATAAATCAATAGCAAAAGTAAAATCAATTCAATGTCTTCACAAACTTGAAAATACTTTTAAAATCAATGACAGCCCCCTTTATCACCAATACAAACTCTACAATTCAAATCAATGAATCCTCCCTAACTCCTCAGAATACCATTTGGTCTAAGTCACTGTACACAAGACTGCTGCAGACTTCCTCGAGTTCACCCCTTGAATTTAACTAGCATCAGAGTCGATGATTTCTCCCTCACTCTCCATACTGTCGATCTGCTGCACCTCGCTGGCCTCCGGTGTGTCCTCATCTAGTGCATCGCCCGTCAGGGCCACTCTGGCATAATCATCCGTGTCAATGGACTTGCAGAAGTGGACGGCGTACTTCAGCTTCTCACGGAGCACGGCCTGGCATGAGTAGCGGGGCATCTTGAGGAGGAAGAAACATGTGTAGCTCTCGGGCAAGAAGTTGTCTGGAGGGTTGTACTTGTCCAGGACCTGTGACGATGCAAGGGAAGACAAGAAGTGTCAGGTTCTATCATTGTGACGATGCAAGGGAAGACAAGAAGTGTCAGGCTCTATCATTGTGACGATGCAAGGGAAGACAAGAAGTGTCAGGTTCTATCATTGTGACGATGCAAGGGAAGACAAGAAGTGTCAGGTTCTATCATTGTGACGATGCAAGGGAAGACAAGAAGTGTCAGGCTCTATCATTGTGACGATGCAAGGGAAGACAAGAAGTGTCAGGTTCTATCATTGTGACGATGCAAGGGAAGACAAGAAGTGTCAGGTTCTATCATTGTGACGATGCAAGGGAAGACAAGAAGTGTCAGGTTCTATCATTTTCTACCACAGTTTTGAGTTTGAGAACTATGAAAGCCATTGGACATTTCATTGGAGTCATATCCTTCATAGAACAATAAAACAGATGGAATTTTACAATCTTTTTATGCAGGACGTTTACTTATAACAAATTATATGCAATAAATATATTTGAATTTCCACTTTGTGGTTTGCTATAACTATAGTTAAACATGGTATGCTATAACTATAGTTAAATGTGGTATACTATAACTATAGTTAAATGTGGTATGCTGTAACTATAGTAAACGTGATATGCTATAATTATAGTAAAATGTGGTATCCTATTACTATAGTTAAATATGCTATGTATAACTATAGTAAAACGTGGTATGCTATAGCTATATTAAAATGTGGTATGCTATAACTATATTAAAATGTGGTATGCTATAACTATAGTAAAATGTGGTATGCTATAACTATAGTAAAATGTGTTATGCTATAACTATAGTAAAATGTGGTATGCTATAAATGTAGTTAAAAAACAGTGGATCATTATTTTTCTAATAACATTAATGAAATGAAGCCATTGTGTTGAGGCCTGTTCCAAAGAACAACATGTCCAATTCATTAACCTTTTAACCAATGGCTAGTTCATCCCTTACGAAAGATTCTTCATACAACAGTGCTAGTTTTATTTAATTCTGTTTTTACTGTTGCTTGTTTGCTGATGTAGGCTTCTTGATGACACCTTCATTGTTTTGTTGCATTCTTTTTTCAAGTTTTCCCATACTTTGTTTCGCCCATTTCCTTCGTCATAGGTTTTAAATTAGTTCAAACATTTAAAATTACCTCTTGGGGATGGAAGGGGAAAAGAATCACTGAAGTTGGGGATAGAAGGGGAAAGAATCACTGAAGTTATCAAATCAACTCTTTCAACCAACCTGAAGAACAAAATCTCTTCCTCTGAAATCAGCGATGGTGCGGGGGAGCCGTGTGCGGCCCCAAACAAAGCGTAGAAACAATGACCTCTCAGCATTGGTGAACTCGTCCATGACCTCCCAGAACCACTGGATCAGTGGAGCGTTGGGTTCTATACCCTTGTATGTGGCCACTGACTTTAGGAGACTAAGGGGGATGTCCTGACTGCCACATGCCTGCAATCAGATGTTAAACATCAAATACAGCAGTAACAATATATATATATATGTATATATATATGTATATTAAACAAAACCATTGGTTACATGGTTGAACAGTGAAATTCATTCTATGGGAAGCAATTTGTTTGGATATAATTTAGTTCAATATTTGACCTTATTACAAACATGCTATATTCTCTGAGTACGTTCTTACAATACAGTTTATCATATCATATAACATTAAGATATTTCTAGGGCTTTTAAATAATGATCTACTAAAAGTGCAGCCGTCAACTGACCATAGTCTCCAGCTCATATCCTGTGAACAGTGACAGCAGTGGTACAGGTATCACCTTGGCCATACCCTCTCTCACCCACCTCACCTGCTCATCAAACTCATGTAGTCTGAAATCAAACATAGTTTTGTTGTTGTGCATCTCATGAACTAAACAAACACTTGACATTAAAACAGATTGTCCTCTTGTCCTTCACAAATACAGTTACTTCTCATTCATTCAACTTTATAGGACTTCATTTATTTTTAAATTGAATAGGGTTTGTGTCATCATTCAACTTTGATGAGAACCACTGTGGTCATCTGAGGGTTGCTGGGACTGATTCAGTGCCTGTTGGTGTGGGGATGGCTGAGCAGGCCAATCTCTGACCCAAAATTTGAGGAATCTCCATAAATGGAGAGCGTGTCATCTAGGTGATCACATCTTTGTTTACAAATACTGATAATATTGATTCTTACATCTGAAACTAACAATTCCCTCCACATTATGGCAAAATGATTTATCAACTCATTAACAAAATGTCTTGATGCCAGTTTGAAATATATCAGACTACGACATTGGGAGATTTTCTATCACTTGACATCAAACTGAATACTGTGATCTATAAGATTTCCTGTCTACACAACAAAGTTACAGGTAAGATATCCCACCTGTGGTCCATGGCCAGCTTGACATACTCCGCCCTGTTCTCAGGGGTGATTCTACTGTACTTGTGGCTCAGATGCACCTCCTGCCCGGTGGCACTGGGAATGCTGAAGGGCATCTCTGCCCCTCTCAGGGCGTCATCCTCCATCTCTTTGATGCACATCAGACCTGTAAAAGAAGTGCATTTCTTTATTTAACCAACACAAAGATTGTTATCCCCCAGTCAAACTCACCTAATCCTGGCAGAGTTAACAATCTGTTAGAAATGTTTAAAGATATTTTAACGTTCCTCTCAAGGATGTTTTTTAATAGAAACAAGACCAATCAGCGGGGATTTCCATTGTGTTCATTTAGTCCTCAGTTTGAATATATTCAAATAAAAATCCAATCAGCGGGGATTTCCATTGTGTTCATTTAGTCCTCAGTTTGAATATATTCAAATAAAAATCCAATCAGCGGGGATTTCCATTGTGTTCATTTAGTCCTCAGTTTGAATATATTCAAATAAAAATCCAATCAGCGGGGATTTCCATTGTGTTCATTTAGTCCTCAGTTTGAATATATTCAAATAAAAATCCAATCAGCGGGGATTTCCATTGTGTTCATTTAGTCCTCAGTTTGAATATATTCAAATAAAAATCCAATCAGCGGGGATTTCCATTGTGTTCATTTAGTCCTCAGTTTGAATATATTCAAATAAAAATCCAATCAGCGGGGATTTCCATTGTGTTCATTTAGTCCTCAGTTTGAATATATTCAAATAAAAATTCAACAAATTTGTATCAAACTCATTCAGAGACAGTCAGATTATCTTCACCCTCTGTTTGTTCTGTTACAATTTATCTTCACCCTCTGTTTGTTCTGTTACAATTTATCTTCACCCTCTGTTTGTTCTGTTACAATTTATCTTCACCCTCTGTTTGTTCTGTTACAATTTATCTTCACCCTCTGTTTGTTCTGTTACAATTTATCTTCACCCTCTGTTTGTTCTGTTACAATTTATCTTCACCCTCTGTTTGTTCTGTTACAATTTATCTTCACCCTCTGTTTGTTCTGTTACAATTGTTAACATTTAGTCACACCTTAAAATCATAACAGAGTTCATTTTTGTCCCAGGGACCCATTCATTACACTGATGTGTACCTGGAATGAAGTCCTTGTCAATCTCTGACAGGTCTGATATCCCAAGGGGCATGCCTGCCAGCTGCTTCCAGGTCGCCTCTGCGATGTTTAAACTCAAAGGGCTGCCACTCCTGATGGCTATACCAATGAGAATACCTGAAACAGCAGATCAAAAGTATTTATAAGATGTATCTACTGGACATGGAGGAAGGTATAGTGCTTACATGAAGGTATGTATAGTCCTTACATGGAGGCATGTTTAGTGCTTACATGGTGGTACAGAGTTTACATGGTGGTATAGTGCTTACAAGGTGATATAGTGCTTACATGGTGATACAGCGCTTACATGGTGATATGGTGGTAAAGTGCTTACATGGAGGTACAGTGCTTACATCATAGTGCTTACATGGTGGTACAGTGCTTACATGGAGGTATAGTGCTTACATGGAGGTATAGTGCTTACATGGAGGTATAGCACTTACATAGAGGTATAGCACTTACATAGAGGTATAGTGCTTACATGGAGGTGTAGTGTTTACATGGAGGTGTAGTGGTTTCATGGAGGTATGTATAGTGCTTTCATGGAGGTATGAATAGTGCTTTCATGGAGGTATAGTGCTTACATGTAGGTATGTATAGTGCTTTCATGGAGGTATAGTGCTGACATGGAGGTATGTATAGTGCTTTCATGGAGGTATAGTGCTTACATGGAGGTATGTATAGTGCTTTCATGGAGGTATAGTGCTTACATGGAGGTATAGTGCTTACATGGAGGTATGTATAGTGCTTTCATGGAGATATAGTGCTTACATGGAGGTATGTATAGTGCTTTCATGGAGGTATAGTGCTTACATGGAGGTATAGTGCTTACATGGAGGTATGTATAGTGGTTACATGGAGGTATAGTGGTTGGACTTAGCCTGAAATATATTTGGGAAGCAACAATGGCTGTGCTAGAATATAAAACAACTTTTGAATGTTGACATGTCAGTGACCTATACCCACCATGTTGAGCTCACCCAGGATTGTAAACTTTGTCAGTTACCAATAACCAGGATGTGGAACTCACCCAGGAATGTAAACATGCTCTGATGGACAGGTTGCTGTAGGCTGGGGTTCAGCAGGAAGCAATCACGGTTGGCCCCCGATTCATCTCTGCCGTTGGGCGTCACAATCAGCAGCGAGACTGATCCATTCTGCAGTTCCTCACACATCTCCACAATGGACTCACTGTAGCCACCACCACAGTCATCGACTCCCTCACCTGGGACAAGTGGATTATTGGTGGTAATGGTAGACAATTTATGCCATTTACACAGACTTAACAATACCAAAAATGTTGACACACATGATTTGATTATTTTAGAGAGATATTGTATTGGATCAAAAGGATGACAGGAACATAATCAAGACCAAGAAATTGCTACTTACAAAGAGACTTGATACCTACCAACAAACTTGATTATTTGCTGCTCACCAACGAACTTGATTATTTGCTACTCACCAACAAACTTGATTATTTGCTACTACCAACAAGATTATTTGCTACTCACCAACAAACTTGATTATTTGCTACTACAACAAACTTGATTATTTGCTACTCACCAACAAACTTGATTATTTGCTACTCACCAACAAACTTGATTATTTGCTACTCACCAACAAAATTGATTATTTGCTACTCACCAACAAACTTGACTTTCCAAACTCTGTGTGGTAACATTAGACTCTCCGAAGTCAGGAGAGACAACCTCTGGGACATCTGGCCAAACACAGACTTCAGACCGTCTGGACCGGCCAGGCCACCTTTTCCCCGGGACCTCTTCACCTGGCGCACAAAGAAACATATCCTTTCTTTTAAAGCCTTTATATTAACTTCGCTTTTGTTCAAAGGGTGCGGACTGGCCAACTGGCAAAATCTTTTGGATGACTTATTGACCCACTTCCCATCACCCTATCGAGCTGAAACTTGGCATATAGACTTGCTGCCGCCGGCAACACATCCTTTAAAATTTTCAGCCCCAACACCCAAAAATCAGTATTTACTGTTTTTCAAGGGAAGATAAAAAGAAATTCCCTGTAACTGCTCTAAATGAGATTCTTTTTTTTAAAATATCACAAGAGTGCTTGGTGCGTAATGTTTTCTTTTGTTTTTCTAAAATTGTTGGTGAAATAAATCTGTGGTGTAAAAGTTGGTGGGAATTAAAATATTAATATAGTTCAAAAGCAAGTAAAAATGTGCGGTTGCGAGCCTTGGGAGAGGGAAGCACTAATGGGATTCTCATGAAGTGTGTTACTTGAATGCGTGTTCTGCCAAATTTTTAGACCCCCCCCCCCTTTCCCTCCATTTCTTGATCCTACATTTTAAAATATTTTATAAGAAAAAATTAGTTTTTAGGGGGGTTGTTTAATTTCTCAACCGTCATGCAGACAATCACTGAATCCTAGAATAACATGGACCTGAAACTGTCATGCAGACAATCACTGAATCCTAGAATAACATGGACCTGAAACTGTCATGCAGACAATCACTGAATCCTAGAATAACATGGACCTGAAACTATCATGCAGACAATCACTGAATCCTAGAATAACATGGACCTGAAACTGTCATGCAGACAATCACTGAATCCTAGAATAACATGGACCTGAACAAATTATGCTCCAATCTAGTATATCAGAAACTGTTCAATTAACTTTATAGACTTACATTACGTAAAACTTAGAAATTATTGACCAGTATGTTAGGGGGACCAATATGTTAGGGCACCAATACGTTTTAGGGGGATAATATATTAGGTGGACCAATAAGTTAGGGGGACTAATGTGTTAGGTGGACCAATATGTTAGGGGGACCAATATGTTAGGGGGACCAATATGTTAAGGGGACCAATATGTTAGGGCACCAATATGTTAGGGCACCAATATGTTTAGGGGGAAAACTATGTTAGGTGGACCAATATGTTAGGGGGACCAATATGTTAGGGCACCAATACATTTAGGAGGAAAAATATGTTAGGTGGACCAATATGTTAGGGGGACCAATATGTTAGGGGACAATATGTTAGGAGGACCAATATGTTAGGGGGACCAATATGTTAGGGCACCAATATGTTAGAGGAACAATATGTTAGGAGGACCAATATGTTAGGGGGACCAATATATTAGGGCACCAATACGTTTAGGGGGACCAATATGTTAGGGCACCAATATGTTAGGTGGACCAATATGTTAGGGAGACTAATATGTTAGGAGGATCAATATGTTAGGGGACAATATGTTAGGGGGACCAATATGTTAGGGGACAATATGTTAGGAGGACCAATATGTTAGGGGGACCAATATGTTAGGGCACCAATATGTTAGGAGGACCAATATGATAGGGGGACCAATATGATAGGGGGACCAATATGTTAGGGCACCAAATTGTTAGGGGACCAATATGTTAATAGGACCAATATGTTAGGGCACCAATTGGTTTAGGGGGACCAATATGTTAGGGCACCAATATGTTAGGTGGACCAATATGTTAGGGAGACTAATATGTTAGGAGGATCAATATGTTAGTGGACAATATGTTAGGGGGACCAATATGTTAGGGGACAATATGTTAGGGGGACCAATATGTTAGGGCACCAATATGTTAGAGGACCAATATGTTAGGAGGACCAATATGATAGGGGGACCAATATGTTAGGGCACCAAATTGTTAGGGGACCAATATGTTAATAGGACCAATATGTTGGGGGAACAATACGTTGGGGGACTAATAATTTAACACTAAACATTTAAATGCAATGTGTTTTTTTTTAAATTGTTAAAAAAAGCATTGTATGAATTGGGATTGCCAAAGCCAGTGAGAGAGAGAGAGAGAGAGAGAGAGAGATCTAAACGCTGTTGGATCAGGCCCTAGAAACTCACCTGTATCCTGTTGAGTTCTATGACTGGTCCATGCTGCTTGTCTCTCACCATTGTTGCTTGGACAACCTTACGGAATGCAGCCTCCTGCAATCAGACATCAAGGTAAACCATTCAACTCTTGTAACTGAATCTGACTGTTTGGGGTATGGAGCTCAGGGTAACCATTCAACTCTTGTAACTGACTCTGACTGTTTGGGGCATGGAGCTCAGGGTAAACCATTCAACTCCATGTAACTGACTCAGACAGTTTGGGGTATGGAGCTCAGGGTAAACCATTCAACTCATGTAGTTTACTCTGACTGCTTGGGGTATGGAGCTCAGAGCTCAAAGAAATTTTTTTAAAAACATCAGTAACCAGAAAAGCCCTTATTTCACAAAGCACACACTCCCCCACCCCTGAAAACTAAGGCAAACAGTTTTGTATGACTGCCCAGCAACATCCATGTCTTTTATAAGCCAACCTTAGCTGATGAGACGAGGATTCCTCTGAGTGAATCAAGTCCTGTAGCTATTTCCTCCTTGACTGGATTCTGTCCGTTTTCCTGTAGGTGGACCATCGGGATGCAAGGACAGAAGAGCTCAGAGAAATGGTGGAGTAGAACAAGTCTGTTTCTTAGCACCGGCATCTCAATACCCTGCAATTGTAAAAAAGACACCATTGCTTACAATTCAACCACATCTCAATACCTTGCAATTGTAAAAAAGACACCATTGCTTACAATTCAACCACATCTCAATACCCTGCAATTGTAAAAAAGACACCATTGCTTACAATTCAACCACATCTCAATACCCTGCAATTGTAAAAAAGACACCATTGCTTACAATTCAACCACATCTCAATACCCTGCAATTGTAAAAAAGACACCATTGCTTACAATTCAACCACATCTCAATACCCTGCAATTGTAAAAAAGACACCATTGCTTACAATTCAACCACATCTCAATACCCTGCAATTGTAAAAAAGACACCATTGCTTACAATTCAACCACATCTCAATACCCTGCAATTGTAAAAAAGACACCATTGCTTACAATTCAACCACATCTCAATACCCTGCAATTGTAAAAAAGACACCATTGCTTACAATTCAACCACATCTCAATACCCTGCAATTTTAAAAAAGACACCATTGCTTACAATTCAACTATGTTTCACTAGACTCAACTGCAACAAGGACACTCTTGCTCCTTATTCAAATATGTTTCAACATTCCAAAAATGTAAATCAAGAAAAAGAAAATCCTTTTTGTGATCATTTTAATTGTTATAAGTCAAACATAAATTCCAGTCATAAAAAATGTAGATCTGGTCATAGGAATGTCCATAAAGCATCAATGCTCCCCTTCACATGTAGATCTGGTCATAGAACATCAATGCTCCCCAGTGAAGGGCTAACATTGATTTCTTTCAATATTAAAAAAAAAGGACTACAACTTAGTTGTCCTAAAAGCTGATCCAAATTATTAAATTGAATAGGGCCTATGAGTCTGGTTTGGGAACTATTGAAACATTATATTTTAAAATTCAACAAAGAACCTAGCAATAATAAACATGCTTTGGAAATAACTCCAGCCCTCCATCTCTAGCCATTCAAACCTCACCCCCTAATTCTAGCCTTACCCCCTGATCTATGAACTCACCTGTAGATGGTTGTACTCCATAGGAACAGAAACAGGCAGACGTCCAGCACTGACCGGCTTGTGTGTAGACCAGGCTAAGCTGTGAGCTGAGCCACATGCAACCCTATTTATTTTTTTACCTGGACAAAGCAAGAAAACTAGATGTCAAGCTGAGGTGTAAAAAAGGGCAGAAAATTAGTTGATTTTGTTACAGAGTTAAAGACTCATTCATAAGCCCAAACTTCAGAAGTATTATATTTGCTCTCGGCTCTATGCTGAAATTTTTATCTTTATGAAAATAGGCAAATCAGGAAAAGAATAAAAATGTTACACTATGCTAACATAAATTTGTTGACAATTTTAAATGATTAATTCACTAATTCTGAAAAATTAATAAAAAATAAAAGCTATGAAATGATATTTTCTCTATGGGGTTTTAATTAAATTAAAAAAATCTTTTAGTGTTAAAAAATAAATAATAGACAATGACGGCTCCCTGGGCGGTGGGGGTGGCAAAGCCGTCCCACACCAAGGAAGGCACGACTCCCTGGACGGTGGAGGTGACAACGCAACGTCATCTCCGGAGAGGAAGCAAAACTGTTCCAACCCCACGTCCCGACTGTAAGACTCAATGGGCAAGGGGGGCTGTGACGCAAAACTGTCCTCTCATGAGTGGAAGCAACCTGCCCTAAACCCTGTTACTCAAGGCCGAGTTGCATGGCCGGAGTCCCCAGGGACTACTAGGCTATGTTTCACGGCCAGAGGTCCTAAGAGATAGAATCTCGACCTCCGAGTATTGATCTTTATTAGTGTTAAAAAATAAATAATAGACAATGAATTTTGTAATTTTACCAATTTAACATTGATTTACTACGTTCCCTACATCTTCAAGTTGACATTATCAGACTGACCATTACATGTTATAAATGTATTGTCTCACTTTGTAGGGCGGCCACCTAATAGTTTACATTATCAGACTGATTATTACATGTTTCAATTTTATTTTCTCACCCTGTAAAGCAGCCACCAATCTGGGTCTCTGGATGGCATTTGTGGTCCCATCCCCAAGTTGTCCCTCATCATTGTCTCCCCATGTGAAGACTTCTCCTGAAATAGTCCATGAATGTTTGCATAGTCTCATCAAGCTTGTTGTTGATGCAGGTTTTAGCTGTGTTGCACAATAAATCTTTTGGTAGCATGGTGCCCGTTAAGAAATTACCTTCAGTATGATGATTGATTACTTACATTACGCTTGCATATCTTTTTGAAGATAAAAGTCTTCAAATGGCTCTTAAATATTTTATCATTTTTAATTTCCCTCAAAGACCAAGGGAAACTGTTCCATAATTTAGGCGCTACAGCTTTAAAAGAGCGCACTCCGTACGACTTCTTTCTGTGTCCATCCATACTGGGAACTCTCAAGAAGGACTGTGTTGAAGAGCGCACTCCGTATGACTTCTTTCTGTGTTTTTAAAGGATTCTTGTTTGGATAGAATTTCTTTAAGATACTCAGATGCAGAGCCTTCCATACAGCTCTACACTAGAGACAGAATTTTGTGGTTAATGCCTTCACTCACAGGAAGCCAGTGGAGATCTTTAAGAACTGGGGTGACGTGGTCAGATTTTTTTATCCGCTTTACAATGGATGCTGCAGTATTTTGTACCTTCTGGGTCTCTGAGTTTGGTTCTGAGGTAAACCCCACAGACAACCGTTACAGTAATCTAATCTTGACTGGATTAGAGTGACCGCTGTGGCATTGGCAGTTCTCTTACTAAGCTGAGGACACAGCTGACCCAGAGAGCGTAGATGACAGAATCAAGCCCTGACCACAGAACTGATATGAGGAATCAGTGTAAGTTTCCTGCCGGTGTAGAAGCCAAGGTCTCTAATTTCTTTGACAAGGATATGTCATAAGCACCAACTTTTATTGATGTGATGGCAACCTTCGAAATATTGGCGTCAGAACCACATATAATTGCTCTGCCTTATCGCCATTTAATTTAAGCCTGTGTAATGCCTTCCATGATTTCACCACAAGACAGCAGTCCTCGACAGCTTGCACAGCAGCAGCGCAGTCCAAAGGATCAGGGTTGAAACTCTTGCACAGTTCTGTGTCATCCACAAATAGTTTTCGGGATATAGAATGACTTTCAATAATTCTGCCCTGCTGACTAGTGTGTGTGGAAAACAGGATGGGTCCTAAAACTGAGTCCTGTGGCACACAGTAGGTAAAGGTAGATGCTTGCTTCACTACAATATGCCTTGTCCTGTGGCACACAGTAGGTAAAGGTAGATGCTTGCTTCACTACAATATGCCTTGTCCTGTGGCATACAGTAGGTAAAGGTAGATGCTTGCTTCACAACAATATGCCGAGTCCTGTCTGTCAGATAAGAAGTATACCAGCAAAGTTCAAATTCCAGAAATGCGCGCCTCATTATGAAGTCTTGACAGAAGAAGACAGTACCAAGCAAAGGGAAATGGGGTCCATTAAGAAAATACCTTCAGTATTACGCAAAGGGAAATATCTCAATTTTGTTCAGAGTTGCTGACTTTAACAATGAATTTATAAAAAAGTCTATCATTCAACCAGTCATAAAATTTAATTACTGATAATTGTTGAGAAAAGATGAAATTTTAATTAAAATAATTATTCATTAGGACCAATAATTAATTACACCTACAAAATTCATCAATGTCATAGGTCAGATCTATTAACATTTTGTCATCTGCATCTTCTGGTCCATTTGGGCATCAAAATGTTGGACAAATTCAATATCAACATCACTTTAATTTCCATTATCTATCTCTGAATCATATTCATTACTGTTGACATTAACAGGCGACATACTTGCAGTTTGAAGCCATTCTAGAAGGGCAAATGTCATCGACCATAAATCTACTGTCAAACAAAGCACTCATTTTCAAGAAAAGCGTAAAATAAAGGACGCAGCCACAAAACCTCAACCAAACAAGCGTATGACATTCCTATTTATAAATAGGCTTTTTGTACTCCTTGATGAGAAGAGTTAAATTCACCAGCACCATTGCAAATGTTGTTTTGTTGACTGTGAGAGATTCTGCCATAATGCCACTGAGGCCTAAGGGCCGGAAAGCCGCCCCTTAACACAAATGAATATTTAAGGTCATGCAGCCAAGGTGCTAACATTTATTGTGGTGTCGACCAGACCTACCTGTCTCGGTACAAGCAACACAGTGGAGTGACCCACAAGCTACGTCAATCACTTTCTTTCCCTGGAGGGCCGTTACTCTCCTTGGCCGTCTCACGTGATCATCAGTTCCATGACCAAGTCTGTGATAATCTCCCTTGCCCCTAATGGAAGACCATTTAAAAGTGTTTATTGCTTTGCACTATAATCAAGGGAAATAGCTAGAATTAGTTCTCCATTAGTAGTATACAACATTCAATATAGACTTTATACAGATAACATTTCTTGGTGGTTGTTTTTTTTTTTTTAGCCGGTTATTAATTTATTTTAAAGAAACCTTTTGTCAAACGATCCAAAATGCATAAAAGGGAGAAAATAAGTAAAACAAGAAAATCCTGCAATTGAAAGTTTGCATTGGTGGCTATGTTAAGTGGGATGTAAAGCAAACATTAGCCAGACCCAGTGTTTGCTGACATTCTACTTTATACGCTCGAGGCCGTGATGCCACTCGGGGGGGCCCACAATCCAGGTCACAGGACCATTACTGACCAGGTGTAAACAGCTCCAGATTTGGTGAGGGCAACTGAGAACTGGGAGCCACACTCCACCTTGATGACACCAAGGCCCTGCAGGGCCTCCACCTTCATTGGCACTTTGCAACCGTCGCTTCCACCTCGGCCTGACGGCATCAGCCAACGGAGAGAGATTTAAGTTAGGTAGATATAATTAGGGAGATAAATTTGGGGCACATGGATATAAATATGTTATAGAGTGCAACTTACATACGAAAGTATTTTAAATAAAGGAATGAGAGATCTAGATAAATACACTTCTGATAGCTTTAGGATAGCTAATTAGCTTTGACTAGTTCATTAAAACTAAGAGGTGGACCTAATGTCACAATATAAATCTGTATTATTTCAAGGTTATTCTTAGACAAAATGTGAAAAAAAACAGTTTTATGTCTCTTTAAATGAAACAGCCAGTGAGCAGTGACCGACCGAGTTTGCCATAATCTCCATCTCCCCATGACCACACGCTGTCATCAGCTGTTATACACAGCGTCTGAGCATCTCCACTGCCACAAGCCACATCTGTCACCCTGTACTCTTTCAGTGCTTCAAGCTGATGGACAAAGGATTCACAGGTTAACTAGTGTTGTAACATCTAGATTGTTGGGCAAACTAAAGATTGTGTGCATTCTAATGATAAACCTATATTTAGAAAACAATTGAATTTTAACGAACTCTTCAATGATTATTAATTACCAATTTAGGCCTGGACTGATCCTCCGAATCTCCATGTCCCAGTCTGCCATAACGACCTTTGCCCCACGTGTACAGCTCTCCAGTGTTTGTGATGCAGGCAGAGTGAGCTCCCCCCGCAGCAATATCTGTCACCTCTTTTCCCCGTAGAGATTCTATCACACGCGGCCGATCACAAGGGCTGAAAACAGGATTAAAACCAGTTTTGAAGAAATTCTAGAACAATTTATGGGGGACACTGTTTTAATTCAAAGCAGTTGCAGCTCACAGTGTTCTAGTTTTGAGGACCCTTGGGTCATGTCATTGATTGGCATAATGTTTAATGATAGGGAGGGCCGAGAAGTTGTCCACATCAGACTTATGTTGCAGACACAACTAATACTCTACCAGCATTTAAATAATCAAATTTGTTTTGTTTAATTCATTGCATTTTTATTTAAAACTATCTTTTCATCATTTAAACTTTATTGGACCTCATCTTTGTTAAAGGAAATATTGTCAAATTAACTGTAAATAATCATTTCCTTCGCAGATTTTCCCTAGGAACATGTCAACAAACCTCCTGTTGCCATGGCCTAGTTTCCCATCCTCCCCCTCTCCCCAAGAGTAGACCTCTCCCTCCGCAGACAACGCCAGGCAGTGCTTCCCTCCGGAGTTCACAGCCAGTTTCTTGATGAAGACGTGTTGAATAGATTCCAGCAGCGTGGGTGTGGCTACAGAATCTGTCCCACCCACTCCCAGTCGACCTCCAGCTCCATAACCTGTACCGTAAACCTGCAAGCAAGCGATACATAAATACAGACACAGATAAATAAGATGTGTTAAAGCTATAACCACTTGCTATAAGAATAACATATTTTTAAAATATGACATTCTAATTGGATATGAACAGGGGAAACAATAAAAAAGAAAATTAATTCCTTCAAACCAGGTCTGCACCAAAATGTAAGGCGGGCCGGTATACTTTACGAAAAACTTGTGCAGGCCGAAAGAAAATAGGACGTGGGGGGGGAAGCTATTAAGAAAATAATAAAAAAAAATAATATTTTGTACTTCGCGGGCTGCAAATTGGGTGCTGGCACACGGGCCGTATGTTGTGCAGACCTGCTTTAAATGACTCTTATGTCTTATTTACACCAGATGCAGATGAAACATCAATTGGTCATTTATACTTTAGCTGGTACTTGGGTCAAGAGACTTAACCCTCTGAACTCTGGGCTACTGGTCCTTAAGTCATCCCTAAGGAAAATGTACACAAACAGACATGCAAGGAAACCAAATTCTTTGATTATTAGATGTTGTAATTTTGTCTATTCAATCTTTTCTTTGCTGGCAGTCCAATATTATAATAAACTTTATTATAAAAGACTTCAAAAGAAGAAAGTAATCTTATTATTTTCATAGTAACAAGGGAGATGATCCCTTTATGCCCTTGACTTTCATAAAAACCAGCAACAGGATGTAAAATAGACCCTGTTGTCTCTTTATTATCAAACATATAAATGGGGGGGGGGGCATGGATTCGTTTACACACTGGGCTGATACATTCAGAATATGGTTTCATACGGTTAAATATCACATCAGTTATTGCCCCTAAGTAGGTCATATGCAAACACAGATGGGTACAGGGTCAGGGATTCTCACCTTGCCATCAGCAGTCACAGCAAATAATGTCTGTTCTCCTCCAATGAGCTGAAGAGGCCTGAGTGATGCCAGGGCATCACAGCTGAGGGGCAATTTGACCTTTGCCCCTTCCACACCTCCTAACTGACCTCTGTGATTGTGACCCCACACCCAAATCTGACCACTGCCTCCCCAGGACAAGGTCCAGTCTTCTGGTTTTCTGCAAAATAAATTGTCAAACCTGTCCCAAAAAATGGTAACAGGGGGGAGAGCCTCCAATCAAGTTAGCAAAAAAGGAAATGAGTGAAACAAAGAATGCATCAAAACAACAAATTATCTACAAGAAGCCTTTATTTTAGCGAACAAACAACAATAAATACAGAATTAAATAAAAAAATAACTCCTAGCTGAAATGGTGTATCCGAGAGGACAGTGAAGGGAATGAGACAGAAAATATGAAGGTGAGAGATTAAATACAGGCAAAAAGGGAAAGAAGAGAGGAAACCTCTTCTCTGCCCCTCCTCGCCATGACCTATTGCAGTGGACTTACTTTTCCTCTACTCTTTCTCTTTTTGCCTGCATTTAATCTCTTGGATACTAAATTTAAGCTAAGTGTTATTTTTATTTAATTCTGTTTTTACTGTTGTTTTTTTTTTTTGCTGATGAAGGTTCCTTGCCGACCTGTTCATTGTTTTGTTCAGTTCTTTTCTTCAGATTTTCCCATACTTCGTTCCACTCATTTCCATCTCAAAAAAACTTTCACAAAAACTTAATATCCATTAGTTCTGTGATTCCAAAAACGATCAATGGTCTACACCCACTAGGCATTTTTTAAACTAGTCTCGCACCCTTACACACTGTTTGACAAAGTCTCACACCTTCTTTAAAAGTAAAATCCATTTTTAACATTGAAAAAAAAAAGGGAATTCTATTTTTGTACTGAATTACAAAGAGATCTGCAGAACTTATCTGAAAAATCCTTTTATTAGTCCCCCCTGAAATGATACCTTTAAGGGGTGCAACCTCAGATTGGGAAAACTTGCCTTAGTTCATTAAAATTCAACACTTATGTTGAAAACACCAAACCAAAACTCCTCTGATTTATTAATTTTACAATATTAAAAGATGCACCAAGAATAATAACTACTCTGACTTATTAATTCTACAATTATGACTTAACTCCTACAACTTGATAAATTCTACAATAAATGAAAGATTAACCAAGAACCATAACGCCTCTGACTTTTAATTCTACAATAATGAAAAATACATCAAGAACCATAACTTCTCTGACCTGTTGATCCACTGTAAGAGTTGCTCATCTTGCTCCTGCTTGAATGTGTCATGTCTCTCATGCAGACGACTGATACTAAAACTGTCACTGGAGATGTCCTGTATTTTCTTCATCACTTCCTCTGTGAACTGCAGGGGTAGCGGCAGTCTCTTCACCATGGCGATGGCCACCCTCGCGGCATTACTGTAGCGGCGGAACCAGGCCCACCTGTGGGCCTCAGCACAGCACGGGAGGTTGTCAAGGCCCAGGTCACACGCCAAGGCAACAAGCACCTGTGGAAGTTCAACAGTTATACAGTAAAGCCATACACTTAATCTTAGTCCAGAGAGATGAACTGATGATTCAAAAAAATGTCTGAAGGAAATGATGCAGCTTTGTTATAGATTCACTCTGAACATTTCCTACCTTAAAGAATGGACTGTGCATCAAGTGTTTGCCACTGCGTACTATAGAATCCTCATACTCGTACTGTCTCTGCAGGGCCTCGGGCAAACCTTTGACCAGTGAGGCTAGGGCCGAGCCACTCATTGACTAGGAAAAAATCAAAAAAAAATTTTTGTTAAAAATTCAAGAAGTATGAGAACAAACTCAGCAGGAGTCTCCAATGGATTAGAGGACCTAATTATTCTAAATGGTGTTAAGAAATGTTCTGTCACCAATCTCACCAATTTAATGTCTTACATACACCAACTTTTCCCTTGAACCAAGTGTAGTAGTGTGTCTACCTGTAAGCATTATGGTGGGGTTGACAGTCAGGTCACAAGTGAGAGATGCACGTGTGATTAGACAACTGAATGAACACATTGTTGCAATGAGACAACATGCTTTTCATTGACTTGTAGCCCAGACAATTTAAACAACTAAACACTTAAATAAGGAGTATTCATCATTGACTGCTGCACTACACTGCCACACTGTGTTACACGTTGGCACTACACTGTCACAACATGTTACATGTGCACTGCACTGTCACACTGTGTTACACCCACTTACAAGAGGGAATGGTCGGGGAATCTCCTCAGGACTATCACTGGTTGGACTGGACAGCAAGGCATTGATGTTGAGTAAGTTGCTAAAGTTGGCAGACATCAACTTGCGTAGTTTGTGTAGGGCCCACATGCGCTGGTTGGCTCCTGAGAAGATGATTTTAGGTTTAAGCAATAAAATAAACTTTCATAAATGGAATTTGAGATAGATTTTGCCAAGCCTAATGTGGAGAATGACATCCGCTATGACAGATATTTACATTATTTGTTTTTAATTTTATAAAATTGAATCAAATAACGTTCAAGTCTGACTGATAGTATGTGATCAATATGTAGATTTTTTTACATGTGAACTATCTTTCAATACACCTCATCAACATCTCATGTTGAATTATGTTTTCTTTCATTCTATCATATGCATCATGAACATCTCATGTTAAATTATGTATTGTCACATTCTATCATATACATTATACATCATAAACATACAATGTTGAATTATGTTTTTTCACATTCTATCCATACTGGAACAAAGGAATAAAAATAATAGAGAAAATTAAAATGTATAGGGATGTAGGTAATAATGTTTATCACAGATTTCACTTGACCAAAAAAAAAACCCTTGGTCAGGTGACATCTCACCCAAACAGCTGAGCTGCGCACAAGCAGCCAATGCTGCAGCCAGGCGTGGTATGATGTTCCTATCCAGTGAAACCTCCAGTTTGAAGTCAAGCAAGCAGGTCACAAGGTCAATGGAGGGCCGAGACAGTATCGTGCGGTCCGATAGCGTGTCCAGCGGGGCCGCCGCCGGCATAATGGGATACACGGTGAAATACCATCCCCAGCCATTGACAGATCCATCGCTGGTAAACTTCCATCTTAGTTCATCCCCAGGTATCCTCAGTTCTTGGAACCAGTCTGAGCCTTCTCGTCCTAGATATGTGACACATTGAGGTATTTTAGAGTAAATGAAATTGGAACATGCGCTATGTGATATGGTGGGTTTTTTTAATTTTTAAGACATCAAGAACAATATGCATAATTTGTAATGACATTGCTTAAAATTCAGATGTGTCAACATATTCAAATTGTATTGAAATCGTTAAACATTTACATTTCATTAAGCATTTAAATGGCCAAAGACTTCGTAGGAGGTTCAGCTGCTTCAAAATATCATGTAGTGTAGTTAAAGTACCAGTGGAAATTGATCAAAATATCAGATTAAATAAAGAATGCCACTTTGACTGAAACAAATCAATTATTTTGCACGGATGATTTTGAGAGGTTTTTTCTTTTAAAACTGAAAATCAGCTCAATCTCATTAGAAATTATAGAATTTTTGTTTCTACACGTGTACCACACGTTCATAAAATAAATGTTGGTTTATTTGTCTAAAGTGACTTAAAATGAAAAAAAATTCCACAACGGCTGAGATCCACTGTGTCCCTGACCTGATCTAACTGCAACAGTTCTCCCTGTGGCATCCATTATCGTAAGTGGATCATGTCTTCTCTCGGTGGAGCAGTGTCGGTCAAACTCTACTCTTAAAGCTTCAGCACCTGTTGTGGACCAGGAAGTTGAGCTACACAAACTATTCACTAATTGTTTTAAAGAACTGTGTACGCCTGTACTAGAAAAAAACTTTCTTTGAAATTTATTGATACCTTATTTATATTAATTTATTGATACACAATTTAGTTATTATTTAGCAACTATCTAATGTAAACGCTTCATAAATAAATCTCAATTAAATCTGAATAAATTATATTACTGTTGCCACTGCTGAGAGCAATAAAATACACATTTAAGTGCCATGAGTCATAACTATTTAACTGTTTAAAAGTAAAAGCTGAGACAACAGAGCAACTAAACAACATCCCTGGGGCACAATCAAACAACAGATGAGTTTACCAGGTATTCTAACAACTCCTGTCTGACTGGAGTCGTCGGTGTACGGGTGAGCACTCTCTTGGACCACAGGTTTGGCAGCAGATCGTCCAGTTTCACTGTCTGTGGCCACATCTTCAAGTTCTGTCACACAGAGCTCCAGCAGCATCTCAGTCACCTGGTCAACAGCATCTTTGTTACAAAACTGTCTAACTTCTGTCTAACTTCTGTCTAACTTCTGTCTATTAATCTAAAATATAATGCCCATTATCTAGGTCAAGCACTTGTTTACCAACCTGTGACGATGCCTTGCCAAGAGCTGTCAACACATCAGACAATGTCTTCTTCCCCCCGGCCACTCGTCTGGCCACTGACAGTTTGAGGAGGTCCACCAGGATACGGGCATCGTCCACAGACAGCTTGTGAGTGAACTCATCTAATCCTGCAGGATAGGCGCAGCCCTGGCCCGTCCCCACAACCTTGGTGACCTCTTCAGCAGACTGCAGCGTCTCGGCCAAGATCGATGTCCCAGGTGAAACTTTGGCGGCCAAACTCTGCATGCTGGGGAAAGGCATACCATCCTCTTGATCCTACCATGAATAAAAGAAATAAATGTTTTAGAGAAATACATGGAGCAATATTAAGAGATTCAATTAAACATTTTTAACAAGTGCCTATTGAATTCAATCCATTGAAGACAGTTACTTTGTGTAATCTAAATAATGCTGAAACAGGAATGGACAAAGTCTCTGACACAAAATAATGTAGATACAGGACAAAGTCCTAGCACAAAATAATGCAGACGCAGGACAAAGTCCCCACATAAATTGTTACACTGGACAATGTCACCACAGAAAATGATTGAGTGTCTAGACTCACCCCGTCAGTTTGCTCCACGATAGAGACAGCCATATCACCAGCCCCCTGTTCTGTGGCAGAGACATGCAACACAGCACTGGTGTCTGGGGAAGAGTTCTGGGAGTAGGTTATGGACTGGACCATGCCCTGACCTGATTCACCTCCTGGGCCATTCACTGGGATGGATTCTTTGCTCAGGGCCTTCACAATGGCATCCCTGAAGAGAACATAAAACTATTAAATTTTAAATACACAACAAAATCTTGAAGACAGATTCAGTTTAGGGAGATGACTGAGATATTCCATAACCAAGTAGTTCATTGAGCATGCTATACAAAATACTGATGATAAGTTAAGTGGTGTAGATATCCAACATACTGATGATTAATAAATAGTGTGGGCAATTAGAAATTTAATCCAAAAGTTTCCCAAACTTTGTAAATCTAAGGACTACTACATATAAGCTGTAGGTGATTCATCTATTCCACTGACCTGGCATATTTGATTTGCAAAGCGTTAAGGACATGGTTGAGTGCTCTCTGCTTCTCCAGAGTTGAATCCATGTACAGGATGATCTTGGACAATGATGGTCGGTTCGTCTTGTCTCTGTTGGTCAGGTCTTTGGTGGGAATGTTAAACTGCTCTTCCTTCTCATCCTGTATACCTGATGGTGAAAATATATGCAAATATTAAAGATATTTTAAGTAGAATTCTTTTTTTACCCACAGAGATGACCTATGACATAGCATGGGCTGCCAAACTCACTATTTGGGATTCAGTGGCATAATTTGTAGGTTCAATTTGCTCAGAACTAAAAAAAACAAGCAAATAATGATTGCAACTTATCACAAATTATGACAGCTGATTTTTTTTCTACGAAAAAAAAAAGTTAAATGCAGCATTGGTTTATGGATTTCTTTAAAAGCTATTGCCCAGCGGTAGAAAGTTGGATCAATTTCAACTTATATTATATTGCAGACCTGCCAACCTGCCAAGAAAAAAATCTGTTGGGGGGGTGGGGGGGGGGTGTGTTAAGATCTATATACTAATGCAAAAGCCTTTTTTAGTAAACAGAGAGAAATAAAGTTACCTCCATTGTCTTTGAAGAGTCCACAGAACAGCACAGAACATGAGATAACATTACTAGAAATGTTTTATACAAATATATACACAGTACAGAACAGAAGATCCATTTTATTTACATATTGCTGCTAAGGCTGCTAAGAGTTCAGTTTTCCAGCATATCCCTAGTGGCCTTTTTGCACTTGTCCAACAGCTCTTTGGACAACTGAAGGATACCATTGCACTTGATTTTAGTTACAAGCAAGTTAGAAAAGTATCACCTTTCATGCTTGCCCTTGCTTCATTGTAATTTTTCTTCACAATCTTCTAGCATTCTGCAAGTCTGGAAACATTTCTTTGACTCTGCCATGAAAACTATCAGAGCTGGCTAGGGAAATATTTCCTTCAATAAGAAAGGTGGTCAATAAAACGATCTGCTAACTGAATCGTCCGATTCCTTAGCAAAGAAATTAGACATGGATTACTTTTAGCTGCAGTTGTATGGGTTTTTTTTTGGGGGGGCGGGGGTTTAAATATGTTTATTAATATCATTGTACCCATGACTTTCAATAGATTTAACCATTAAATTAAGAAAAGCTTTAACAAAAAAAAAAAAGTCTGAATTATTTACTAGCCTTGTAAAAAGAATGAGTCACGATCGGATCATTTGATGATTGAAGAATGATTTGAAGATCGCAGTTCGCCTCCATAAAAACAAGGCACTGTCTACACGTAAGGCGACCGGACAAATAGTGCGGGCATGCCACGCTTTATAAAAAAACATCGTCACTTTTTAACCAATTGTTCATTATATATACAAGCAATGGTTCTAGTATTTCTTTTGTATAATTGAACATATTTCTTTTTCGTGTAAATGTCCAGACTATCTTGAATTTGTTGAAATGAAGTACCGTAAACTCTGATCAACAATCAGCGGTCACATGACAAGGCTGACAGACAAATCTCTCGCGCAAATTTGTTACGGTGGTCATGTGACTTGGTCAAATATATAATAATAATATAATAATAATATATCTTGAGAATTTTTCACTTATTCGTCTGGTCGCCGGACATGTAGACACTTCGTAAAAACAAATGCAACACTTCCTGTCGTACCCAATTTTTTTTTTTTTTTTGGTTGCTTTTGGATTTTTATGAAAAGTGAAAAATTACAAAGTTCAAAAAATCGGAATTTTAATGGGTCTTTTTGGAAGGTCAGAATAAGGGGTAAAAAATTTGTATAATTCCAACAAAATCGGAAGGGTTGGCAGGTCTGGTAATGATAAGGCTCTTTATCTTATTATTATTAAAGTGGTCTTATATAGTGCGGTAACCAAGCTAAAATAAAGCCCTTAACAGTACTAAGTTCACTTCATATTGTAATTGTAAAGCTCTGTATCTTACCTAAAAATGAAGCTCCCAAAGGGTCCTTGGAGACTGAGAAGAGTACAGGTTCATGAGACGTTGGAATGGAGTATCCTGTGATGGCCCAGGCCACACTGTGGGATGACCCGCAGGCCACTCGGGTGATCTTGTAACCATCTGTGCCCAGGACAAGGGCAGCTTTTCTGTTGACAATTGTGGTTCCGTTGCCCTGCTGACCATGGTCATTGTCACCCCAGGCCCATACCTTCAGATAGAATTGTTCAAAATTAAATAGTTTCCAGTGATTTAATATACAACCTATAAAAAAAATTGCAAACCTCAACATTCAATATTGCTATTATGGAATGGCTATTTGAGAAAATTAAGGCCCCAAAGTCTTGTATAAACCTCAATGACTAAAACTAAATATGTACGTCAAAACAAATATATCAAGTAAGGTAGGGGTAGGCTAACTATGGCATATATGCCAAATGAAATACTAGCACGGGCAACGATATATAATTTATAACAATAATTTCAGATGCAGATCCATATATCCACCAATGCTTAGTTGTATTTACCTACAAAGAGTGGTTAGTGACAATACTAATAACATCATGGTGCGCAGCGAGAGCAGTGCAGACAAGATCCACTTGGAACTATTATTATAGACTAGAACATATGACCCGATGTTACGAGGATAATAATGGCAGCCATTTTTTGGTATTTCCTACCAGCTATTGCGAAAAATCATCAGAATTCCTTTTTTACAAAAGAAGTATATATGTAATGATGCTTACGTTTCTAAAATTTAGTTTTGAGAAATATTTAGCTGCTATATAATATCCGCCTACCATACTCCTTTTTGCGCCCCTGAACTACTTTTTTTTTTTTTAAATTGTAAAACATGACCTTAAATTTGCAACAAAAATTATGTATACCATTTTATATATATTTATATTAACGGAAATTGGTATCTTCATTAAAAATTTAACCAAACTTTTGGCTTTTTTTTCTATTTATATTATTGGAAAATTTTAAAACAAAGAATTCTTTTATCTAAAGAAGAATCTTTTAACCATTTTCAATAGCCTTGAGAGTTTAATTTAAAGAGAAATATCATCAATGTTATATAAATTTAGACCCACTTTACTTTTAGCAAGTAAAAAGAAAATATGTTTTCATATTTTGAAATAAAATCTTAACCCATCTTTGTTCAGGCCCATGAATTGTAAAGAAAAAAAAACAAAAAAGTATGGCTATATTTTTTAGACTAAATTTTCACGTTTTTTGGTTTTTGATATTTTTATTTCAGGTATGTGTATAATCATGTAAATGTACCTGAGTTTTGTCAACGCTATCGAACTATATTTTCTTTATCGGTAAACATATATTATATATTTATTTGTTAAAAGAGAATATAAAACCTCTTTTTTTACTACTGTAATATCATTGGATTAAATATATTGTCATCCACATAAAAATGTACACACCCTATTCCCTAATGCATAATGGCTGTGTTGCTTGGGGTTGGAATGGCTACAAAGACTTTGCAATTGTATGCTAGTAATTAGTTTTTGTATTGTTGCGTTTGTTTTAAATGTGGTAAATTATAGATTTGTATTTTGTTGACTTTGTACCACGGTTCGAGCCTTTGGGGATGAAGCGTGTTTTTGAAATGAACTTTATTATTATTATTACCCCCGATATATATGTACCTAAGAAGGTTAATTATTTATCTAATTCATTCCTTTATTCTGAGGCGTATCTTGTTCTGCCTGGAGCAAAAGGAAAGTAACAATTTCCCCTCCCGTCTGTTATAAAAATAAATAAAATCATACACAGGATGTTAGCCCTTACACGTACACAATTCCCAAATTTTTGCACGTCCCTGAAAATTATGAAATTCTTAAGTCCCAGATCCCTTTCACCACACGGTTTATATTTTCTACAAAAAAAAACAACATAATTCTACGCATAATTTATTATATTGAAAGATTAGGGTTATTTATTCTAACATTAAAAACTATACCAAAGTTCAAATATGTCACATAGTTTGGTTTTGAGATATTGATTTCCAAATGAACCAGTTGCAATTTAATTGGATTTGTTATTATTTGGATGAGTGATAAGTGAATTAGTGAGTGCTATTTGGCTTTGAAGATTCACTGCACTCATTCACTTAAACAGCAGTTTCTTATTAAAAGTATTTTTAAATGTTAAGTTTTTATTACTTTATAAATTTGATGAAAGCACATTTTTGGAATGATAAATAAGAAACATGTATATTGTTAAACATACTGAGCTAAAATTTGATGTGTTTTTTAACAATTTAAAAAGCAATCAATTATATTTATTAATTTTACTTTTTAGAAGGGGAAAATACAAAATCAGTTTTGTCACACGCTGTTATTAAATCAAACAAATTTAAAGCTTTTGATTTGCAAGTCAAAATTTAGTTCTTTTAAAATTAATCAAATTTTTTTTATTTGAGTTCAATCGAAAAATTGACTTCGATATTGTTTGAAGTCATTCAGATAAAATTAATTTAGAATTATTTTCGCAATGTTAACAATGCACTAAAAACAAAATATGTTTGGGGTCGTCCTGATTAATGTGATTAGGATTTAATAAAAACAATTCTTGCAACATAATTTTTTGATATAAAAAAGAATCTCTTTACTTTCAAATTTGGAAAAATTGCTTAAAACAGCTCTTTAATTGTAATTTTAAATTTATTTCCAAATTTTAATAATAATACTTACACGTATAATAAAATAAAAGCGGATATATTTTATTTTTGGCACATTTAAATTTATTTGATTTCCATAAAATAATAGTAAATCACTCGTTGTTTTTAAGAATCCGAACATATTTAAATTGATTCTGTTTTGTTTTTCTTGTTGTATGGATACCTTAGCTCATTCTTATATATATATATATATATATATATATATATATATATATTATATATATATACTCCTTGTCCTTTTTCCTTGATGTAAAAAAAACTATATTTAAATTAAGTTCAATCTCAAAATACATTTAGGTATATGTGCAACCCTCCGGCCCACCCAAATCTTCAAGGAAAATGGATGCCCAGGAAATATCCCCCTCTCCACTTCTGTAAGTTTTCCTCTGGTCTGAACTGCCTAAAACAACCAACCTGGCCAGTATCTGTAACAGCCAGACAATGCAGTGCACCCACTGAGACATGAACTATTTTCTTTCCCTTGAGTCCTTCCACCAGTTGAGGCTTACGAACATGTGCATCTGTTCCATGGCCCAGACGGAAGTAATCACCTTTACCCCTGAGACAAAAATTTCATTTTATTTATTACAATTTGCTAATTAATTTGCATTATAACCAATAATCAAGCCACATCATTACTCCATTGTCATTTTTTTTATGTGATGGATTTAAACTAGTGGCTGAAACGTAAACCTATTTATTTGGTGTAGTAGAAAGGTGACTAAATACCCTGACCATCGGCTACTGTCTTCTTTCGTTATTTTAGTGTGTCTGGGTGAAAACTGACTGTGGTGTATCTGTTGTGTTGTGTGGACAGGTGTATTTATTGTATTGACATGTTTAACTGTTGTATTGAGTGGACAGGTGTATCTATTGTATTGACATGTTTAACTGTTGTATTGAGTGAACAGGTGTATTTATTGTATTGACATGTTTAACTGTTGTATTGAGTGGACATGTGTATCTATTGTATTGACATGTTCAACTGTTGTATTGAGTGGACAGGTGTATCTATTGTATTGACATGTTTAACTGTTGTATTGAGTGGACAGGTGCATCTATTGTATTGACATGTTTAACTGTTGTATTGAGTGGACAGGTGCATCTATTGTATTGACATGTTTAACTGTTGTATTGAGTGGACAGGTGTATCTATTGTATTGACATGTTTAACTGTTGTATTGAGTGGACTGGTGCATCTATTGTATTGACATGTTTAACTGTTGTATTGAGTGAACAGGTGTATCTATTGTATTGACATGTTTAACTGTTGTATTGAGTGGACAGGTGTATCTATTGTATTGACATGTTTAACTGTTGTATTGAGTGGACAGGTGTATTTATTGTATTGACATGTTTAACTGTTGTATTGAGTGGACAGGTGTATCTATTGTATTGACATGTTTAACTGTTGTATTGAGTGGACAGGTGTATCTATTGTATTGACATGTTTAACTGTTGTATTGAGTGGACAGGTGTATCTATTGTATTGACATGTTTAACTGTTGTATTGAGTGGACTGGTGTATCTATTGTATTGACATGTTTAACTATTGTATTGACATGTTCAACTGATGTATTGAGTGGACAGGTGTATCTATTGTATTGACATGTTTAACTATTGTATTGACATGTTCAACTGTTGTATTGAGTGGACAGGTGTATCTATTGTATTGACATGTTCAACTTTTGTATTGACATGTTCAACTATTGTATTGACATGTTCAACTATTGTATTGACATGTTCAACTATTGTATTGACATGTTCAACTATTGCATTGACATGTTCAACTATTGTAATGACATGTTCAACTATTGTATTGACATGTTCAACTATTGTATTGACATGTTCAACTATTGTATTGACATGTTCAACTATTGTATTGACATGTTCAACTGATGTATTGACATGTTCAACTGATGTATTGACATGTTCAACTATTGTATTGACATGTTCAACTGATGTATTGACATGTTCAACTATTGTATTGACATGTTTAACTGATGTATTGACATGTTCAACTATTGTATTGACATGTTCAACTGATGTATTGACATGTTCAACTATTGTATTGACATGTTCAACTGATGTATTGACATGTTCAACTGATGTATTGACATGTTTAACTGATGTATTGACATGTTCAACTGATGTATTGACATGTTCAACTGATGTATTGACATGTTCAACTGATGTATTGACATGTTCAACTGATGTATTGACATGTTCAACTGATGTACTGAGTGGACATTGACTGAATGAATGATCAAGGAAACCAAAGCCTGACACTCACCAGGTCCAGACCTGTCCAAGTTTGGTCAGTGCCAATGAGAACTGGGCTCCACATTCAATTTGTATCACACCCTGGCCCGTCAGCCTTTCCACTGGATGGGGTACATTGCACCCTTCACTTCCTCCTCGGCCCAGCTTCCCAAAGTCTCCGTCCCCCCAAGAGTAGACAACCCCATCATCGGTCAAAGCAAGTGTTTGGGCATCACGGCTTCCGCAGGCCACTTGAATGACCCGCTGGCCAGCCAGTGCCATGACCTAAGCAAAGTATTGTTACAATAATAACAAGTTAAAACCATTTTTTTAAATGACATTTTTACATATGAAAGCTGCAACCTGACATTGATGTTCTTTAATGCCACGAAAAATTTGATATTGCCATGTCAAACTACATTCAATCCCTAAAGTTTTTGTAAGTTTCAATGGCTAAAGAAAATGATAACTACTGCCATGTCAAGCTACATGGAAATCCTAAAAATTTGTTAAGATAAAATGGCTAAATAAGATGACGACCATTGAAACTTATTTTAAAGCTGAGTTGCATGAGAACTTGAAAGTCAAGTTTTGGAAGTTAAAATGGCACATTCTTGACCAGCCTAATCCACAGGTCACATGTCCACACTACTCACTTGTTTGGGCTTGAGCTGTGTTGTGTTGTCGCCATGGCCCAAACGTCCATAGTCTCCTAGTCCCCATGTGTACAGATCTCCATTGGATATAATGGCTGCACTGTGTGAGCTGCCACAGGCAATGTCTCTCACTCGCTTGGATTTTAAAGCTTCTATCAACTTTGGGGTATCACAGTTCCTGTAATGGAGTTACTCACTCAGCACAGAAAATGACAATATGCTTTTCGATAATTTTCAAATTTGCGTAAAATATTTTAAAAAATGGTTGCCTTTTTTATTAAAATTGAATTTAAAAAAAGATATTTGCATCGTTTTTTAAATTTCATTAACTAAAAAAACTTGACCTGATTATTTCTTTACTTATAAAACAGAGGTTCCCAACTTTTTGACTCATGGAGCCCTGTCTAGAACTAATTCTATAGGCAAACCCCTATGTCTTACAGGTTATTTTTTATAAGGAATTTCTAGTAGCAGCAGCTGGGCCCCCTAGGAAGTGCACCCAGAACATGGTTTGGGAATCACTGTATTAAAAGAAGATGTTCCCATTTGCTAAAATGTTTTATATTATAATTAGACTTTAATCCATAACTTTCTGATGAAATGGTAGAAACTGGATATTAAATTAGTATTCACTTTAACATCAACAAAACTGAAACATAGCGGCTGTAGTGAAATTGTCTAATGATATGTCACATCACTAATATTAACAAGTATTCCAACAAGCCTTCTTGTCTTAACTAGGCAACCAATAACACAGCTACTGAGAGCCTTTAGAACGTCACTGTTTCCACCTGACTTTGTTATAGATGGCCTGGCTCACTACCAACAAACTGACAGAGGGCTTCCAACTTACGTGCGACTTGAAAGACCAAGTTTCCCATCATCCCCCTCCCCCCAGGCAAACACTTTGCCATCGATGCTCAGGGCGAGGGCATGACGTCCACCCGAGTGCACCGACACTTTCTTGATGATGTACTGACCAAGGCCGGTCAGCTGACGGGGCACAGAAACATTCACCGGCACGGACCCCAGACCCAGTCGGCCATTCGTGCCCTCACCGCAGGCAAACACTTTGCCATCTTGTGTCACTGAGGAGAAAACGAAAAATTAATCTTAAAATACTGAATACTGTATGTCAGTACGGTAAGAATAAATCTAATTCAACACACACAATATAAATTACAATGCACAAGAAAAAAATTTTCTTTTTTAATTGGACAACAAATAAATGGATTCGCAATGTTAGGAAATTTCAATATGAAAGCATCTGGGCAGATCATCATTTGAAAATTACTTGTTTGATTAATTGCTAGAACTGTAATGAAAAAACTAATTGACCACAGAACAAAAAAACTAAGTTACCACAGAATGAACAAATGTATTTACCACAGAACAAAAAAACTAATTGACCACAGAATGAAAAAATGTATTTAACACAGAACAAAAAAACTAATTGACCACAGAATGAACCAATGTATTTACCACAGAACAAAAAAACTAATTGACCACAGAATGAACAAATGTATTTACCACAGAACAAAAAAACTAATTGACCACAGAATGAACAAATGTATTTACCACAGAACAAAAAAACTAATTGACCACAGAATGAACAAATGTATTTACCACAGAACAAAAAAACTAAGTTACCACAGAATGAACAAATGTATTTACCACAGAACAAAAAAACTAATTGACCACAGAATGAACAAATGTATTTACCACAGAACAAAAAAACTAAGTTACCACAGAATGAACGAATGTATTTACCACAGAACAAAAAAACTAATTGACCACAGAATGAACCAATGTATTTACCACAGAACAAAAAAACTAATTGACCACAGAATGAACAAATGTATTTACCACAGAACAAAAAAACTAATTGACCACAGAATGAACAAATGTATTTACCACAGAACAAAAAAACTAATTGACCACAGAATGAACAAATGTATTTACCACAGAACAAAAAAACTAATTGACCACAGAATGAACAAATGTATTTACCACAGAACAAAAAAACTAATTGACCACAGAATGAACGAATGTATTTACCACAGAACAAAAAAACTAATTTACCACAGAATGAAAAAATGTATTAACCACAGAACAAAAAAACTAATTGACCACAGAATGAACAAATGTATTTACCACAGAACAAAAAAACTAATTGACCACAGAATGAACGAATGTATTTACCACAGCACAAAAAAACTAATTGACCACAGAATGAACAAATGTATTTACCACAGCACAAAAAAACTAATTGACCACAGAATGAAAAAATGTATTTACAACAGAACAAAAAAACTAATTTACCACAGAATGAACAAATGTATTTACCACAGAACAAAAAAACTAATTGACCACAGAATGAACCAATGTATTTACCACAGAACAAACTCTTAGAGCCCCCTGCAATCTGGATACAGTTGAGGGAAGACAAGGCTTCGTTTAGGATGGGCATCTTGATCTGGAGATGTTAGACACGTTACTCTTAAACTCATGATGTTAACCAACAATGTCTAGGGATGTTACTCTTAAACTCATGATGTTAACCAACAATGTCTAGGGATGTTACTCTTAAACTCATGATGTTAACCAACAATGTCTAGGGATGTTACTCTTAAACTCATGATGTTAACCAACAATGTCTAGGGACGTTACTCTTAAACTCATGATGTTAACCAACAATGTCTAGGGATGTTACTCTTAAACTCATGATGTTAACCAACAATGTCTAAGCACGTTACTCTTAAACTCATGATGTTAACCAACAATGTCTAGGGACGTTACTCTTAAACTCATGATGTTAACCAACAATGTCTAGGCACTTTACTCTTAAACTCATGATGTTAAGGAACAATGTCTAGGGACGTTACTCTTAAACTCATGATGTTAAGGAACAATGTCTAGGGACGTTACTCTTAAACTCATGATGTTAACCAACAATGTCTAGGGATGACAAACAGAGGGATTCAGTACTCAACATTTATGCTCTTTTGCTTCACTAAAACAATACAGTGGGAATGTCAGCTAAAACAGTGCAGTGGGAATGTCAGCTAAAACAGTGCAGTGGGAATGTCAGCTAAAACAGTGCAGTGGGAATGTCAGCTAAAACAGTGCAGGGGGAATGTCAGCTAAAACAGTGCAGGGGGAATGTCAGCTAAACAGTGCAGTGGGAATGTCAGCTAAAACAGTGCAGTGGGAATGTCAGCTAAAACAGTGCAGGGGAAATTTCAGCTAAAACAGTGCAGTGGGAATGTCAGCTTATAAGAAATCTATTTTAAGAGTTTCATTTTTCAACACAATTATTTGGTTTCCAATGGGTTAAAGTTTATATTTTAGCTTCACTTGCTAGCTGGGTCTCTACTTAAAGAGTTATTTAACAGGCAAACTCTTTCAATTAAGTTTATACAGGTACACAGTTCTAAGCTCTTATTAGATATAAAAGCAACAAACAGTCATACTCAACAGTCACAGTTTGGGTAAAATTATTTTTTTCCAAATAAAAATAAGATCTTTCAACTTGATTTCTTTGTAATTTGTATCAATCTAAAGTTTGTTTAATTTCATTAATAAGTACTTAACACACATTGTTATAATGTAATTATGGCAGACTACCAAACTAATCACCTTTGACCCTTTGGGCCCACCAAGCTGGTCTTTATCATTGAGTCCCCACACAAACACATAAGTCTGAATATCTTTAGCCACCGCAGCTTTTCCCTTCTTGTTTCTAGAAGCCATCGTACAGCCCGTCGTCCTCTGCTGCTGCTGCTGATCATCCTCGTCCTCCTCCTTGTCTTGTGCCAGGATGGAGAAGGTGGTTGGAATGTCATCGTCGTCCGTCTTGTGTCTGGCAGAGATGGACAGTCCGTGAATCTTGCAGTCGATGCCGCTGCTGCGACACTGTCTGATGCCAATCTCAACTATGCGGTGATACTGGAGATAGAATAGAGTGGTGATAGTTAAACAGCATTCATTGCAATTTATTTTACATTGAAGTACGGAAGACTAGATTTTTAAAATCTGTCTTACATTTGGCAACACCATCAGTATAGTAACCGTTCACCCTGTTGTTGGTGATACAATGGTGATGGTTAACTAAGTCTATGACAACACCATCAGTATAGTAACCGTCCACCCTGTTGTTGGTGATACAATGGTGATGGTTAACTAAGTCTATGACAACTGATTAACAGTGACTGCCACATAAGGACATCAAATTAAAATGAATCATCAAGTCACTTGAATTAACTAACACTGGCACTTTATTACACTGAGACCGTATTCACATGATAAATAATAACTTCACTGTTAATGCAGAATACCGATAAATATATATATATGTGTGTGGGTGTGTGTGTTCACTCATGTTTCATTAATTATCTTTACTACTCTTCTCACAATTATCACAGACTTAACTATAGCACAGAATCATCACACAGTCTTTTTCAACATGGCTGACTTACACTGGTCCATTATATCTAGATCTTCTTATTCTCTGCCCTGATTCTACATCACATCAAAACAGCACACCCAAAGTTATACCACCCAAAGTTATACCACCCAAAGTTATACCACCCAAAGTTATACCACCCAAAGTTATACCACCCAAAGTTATACCACCCAAAGTTATACCACCCAAAGTTATACCACCCAAAGTTATACCACCAAAGTTATACCACCCAAAGTTATACCACCCAAAGTTATACTACCCAAAGTTATACTACCCAAAGTTATACTACCCAAAGTTATACTGTTACAATTATAAACTATAGTTTTACATCTGCATATATCACATTGTTCAATTTCTATTCACAATGCAAAGGTAAAAAATATAGAAAGCCTGTTCAGTGCTGAAAGTCATCCAAAGATTGTATTTGGGATTCCTTTTGATTGTCATTCAATTTCCTTAAGACAACAAAACTCGGAGTCATCAGTTTTACCTCAGTCATGTCAGATAACAAGGTAACCAGGGACTCATCAGACGGGATGTGGACAGTTTTCAACTCTTTCAGGCTGACCACAGAGTCTCCGCCGCTGATGACCACCAGGGAAGGAATGTAACTGGAATCCGCTGGGTCAACGCGCATCATAAGTCTGCTGATGACCATCTCTGCCTGCATTTCTATACGTATCCAGTGCTGGGGAGTAAAACAGGTTGGTTGAGAGCGACTTGTTTGGCTTAAGATTATCTCTTCTCTAATCCCTATATCAAACCAATTAACCAATTTGATAGTGTCACTCTTAAGGCAGTCTATATCCATTTATCCAATTAATTCTCTCATTTATTTAAGATGGAAAAACCCATCTCATTTATCTCTTTATTTCTGTATAATTCATTCTAAAATTAACTCCTCATTCAATAGATATGTAAAATGATTGGTCCTTCACAAAAGCATTTTCTTACAAATTAATCTCAACTAAATCTAGATCTATATTTTGGTAGATGGCTCAAATGTTAAATTTCAAACATAAACTTTTGTTACTTCGGTGCCATTAGTTTAGTGAGTAGCTTTTCAAAAGTAATAAACTATTCCCCCCACCTTTCCCTGCGTGCCGTGGCTCTGCCAGAAGTGGCCCTGACCATCGTAGAGGTTGTGGGCCTGGTCCTCTCGAGACGACACGGTCACACTTTTGACACAGGCGTGCCAGTTGTTGACGGTTGAACCTTTGGGTGTTTGAGATGGGATCACTCGGTTGTGGCGGCCAGGTTTGCCGGCAAAGCAAGGATCACTTCCTGTCAAATGAAGTGACACCAACATTTTCATTTAAGGCTATTTTTTCATCAGCCATTAAGGAAAAAAAGATCAAAATTAAAAAAATGCAACATTCTGGAAATTCACCGGTTATCATTTCTTAGAGAAGACTTTGGCTTGTGTACCTAAACACCTGGTAAAATTTCTTATTGAGATGAAGTTGACTCTAAAATAATCCACCAGCAGTTTAACTAATAAAATAATTCTTTCATTCAAAACTCTCACACTACTTGACTGCAAAGTAAGAAACTAAATTCACCTGTCACACACATGTGCTGTACATCTCACATATGGCATGTGTCACATATGTCCCACATATGGCATACATCTCATATATGACATATATCTCACATAAGTCTCCCATTTGCCAAGTTGAAATTGAAACATTTACTCAAAGTGCCTGTGATTTATAAAACTATGCACTCCTTACCTGGCTCTTGTAATCTGTTGAATGGATGTTTGTGTGATCGGCTGATCTTGAAGCAGGTCTCACACAGATCAAAGTTGTCACACATCTGACAGTGGAACCTTGGTCCAGTGATAGGGTTCATCATACAGTTAGAACATCTGACAGGAAAATGTAATTAACCGCACTTCAGATATTTTATTTAATAGCAAATAATTAAGACTGCTTTGGCAGGAATAATGAGAACCACTGAAAGTAGAGAAATGGGGTAATGAACCATGAGGGATAAAAATTAATTTCTTCTCTAGTAATTATGTGAAATTTGTTTAAGCACTAAAGATCTTACGAGATTTGAGGATGAGTGCTGGGGACTAGCTCCATCTCTGAGATGACCCCTGTCCAGTGGGATTGCTGGGGGAAGTCGACAGTTATGTCTCGTCCATTAGGGATGATTGCTAAGTAAGAAAAATGACATAAAAATAAAATGCATTAAACATACTGCTTCTAAAAATGCAGTTTTCTTAACGTGTAAACTCTATGTTAAGGGATTTCTAACATAAAATATTTTGGAATTATACATGGCAAGTAAATGAACATTTGACTAACATGAACTGCTCTGATTGAACTTAACTTAAACTTTTGGTTCCTCATTCAATGTTGGTAAAACTCTCCCTACCATAACCTGATTGGAAGCCAGCAAAACTTTCAATGTTTAAACCATTACCTGAAACAGTGCCGACACTGGAGTGGGTCACAGACCCCCATTTGTAGGTGGGTTTACTGACTGATGCCCTGACTCTCACTTTGTCTCCAACTTTGATGGTCTGTCCATTGTCTGATCAGATAAATTTTTTAAATATTTGGTTGCAATGTGTTCTGATAATAAATCATATGGACTTTCTTAGAACTGTTTCCTCCCCATTTTTTAATAATTCTATGAATTCACCGATGGGTTGCTCCCCTTGGTAAATATTATTTCTGCATTTTGTGCAGGGGGTGGCTTTTTATAAATCTTGCTAAGAATTGATCGTCTAGCAATGGCTTTATCGTCTAGCAATGGCTTTATCGTCTAGCAATGGCTTTATCGATAGCCAGTGCATTGCATTACTGGGGCCGGAGCATGAATCAAAATGCTTCATGTGTGTGGGATAATGACATGTCATAAGTTATTATGATAAGAGACTTTTTAACATCTTTATTTTTAGGGCTAAGGAAATGGGAACAGTGGAAAGCCACTTTGAAACAAATCATCCTTGTTCTATGGCTTTCACTGAAATATGTGCTAACAATGCAGGTTTCTTTTTCTTACTTGTAAGTCGGTCAGCAGCAACTACTGACCCCTAAAAATTAAACATTCTAAATAGTTGAGTTAATGACCTATTTAACTAAAACAACCTCAATGGTCAAACTACTGACCTATTGTTGTGTTGGTAAATCCCAGGATTTCAACATGAATGTATCTGACCCAGTATGTGCCCCCTTTTCTCTGCCAGTAGGCTTGGATGTTGAGTTCATGGAGGCCGTCTTGATCAAGCTGAAAATACCCACAATCCATTGCTCTTTGAGTCAAACCATTAAATAAATTTGCTTTGGTTGCCCATATCAGGGTTCAAACCTTTAATGATTTACTTACTGTAAAATCACCAGGATAGACCAAACTTGGACTCACACAAGTTTTAACACAATTAATTTAAAGAATGCATAATGGCAACATCAAAATTTCCATTAAAAGATCATTTTATCTTGGCAGACAATTCAGTGATCAGTTTAGTTACCTGGTGTTGGTTGAACACTGCAGCACTGTGTGTTTAACTGAAAGGCTTACCTTGGTCACTTTGCCAATGTCTCCTTGGTGAACCTCCTCATACGTCCGGCAACACCTGACCATCATTCCTATCTGAATCTTTTGCCTCACGTAGATGGCATAGTCATCAGTGTTGACAAAGTCACTTCTTTTCTTGAATTCTGAACCACATGAGAGTCCTACAGGTTCAGGTGCCGGGGTCTGGGGACAAGCAATTTTTAAACTAACACAAAAAGGAAATATACTTAACTCAATTCTGTAAAGACTTTTAAGGAGCATGCAGCTTTGTTTATAAATACCTCTTACATTGTGGCAAGACAAATTATTTATACAGAACTGAATGAAGGATACTATGAACACATAAACCAAATGCTATTAACACACATTGAAAATGAGACACATGTACTTTACATCACAAACTAGAAATTTCTTTAAAAATGCAGGATAACATAATGAACACCTAAGCAAAAATAAGATAAGATAAGATTATTTTATTGATCCAAATAAATGGAAATGTTATTTTTTGATTGCATTATACATTTTCCGCACAAAAATAAAACAATATGAACACAAGACATTTATAATAAATTATTTCAAACAGCCATTCAGTGAGTTCTCTTAGCAAAATCGGGGACGTATTAGTTCTCATTCAGATGTGTGACTTCAGAGGAAGCACGCCAGTAAATTCGTACAGATTGGGGAACAAAAGAATTGTTATATCTATCAGTCCTCGCCCTGATGGAAAGAATTCGGCCTGAACGGCCCGATCCTAAGTTTCTAGGATGAAGAGGGTGGGATGTATCATCCAAAATGTGTTTAGTTTTGCAAAAACATCTTTCTTCAAATAGTTCTTCAAGTGAAGGATGTTTAGTTTGTGTTATGTTCCTAGCTTTCTTGATTAGTCGGTTTATGTGGTGTTTAATATCAGACGTTGAATTCCCACACCAGCAGGTAATACTGAAATTAAGCAGGCTTCCAATAGATGCACTGTAGAATAAGTTGACTTGCTTGTTTACGCCAAAATTGTACAGTTTTTTGAGGTAGAACAGTCTTTGGTTGAATTTCTTATACAAGATTTGGCCGTGCTCATGCCATGTTAGCTTATTATTAATGGTGACACCTAAGTACTTGTATGCCTCCACTTTCTCCACATTTTGATTTTTTATGTTGAGAACTGTAATCTGGTGTTTCCCCCTCCTGAAATCAACAACCATTTCCTTTGTTTTTGAGACATTCAACTGGAGAAAATTTTCATCGCACCAATTGATAAAGCTTGTTACTAAGTTAGGGTATAGGCCTTCTCCTTCAGATATTAAGCCAACAATCGTGGTATCATTAGCAAATTTTAAGATTTGAACGGTGTTGCTTGAGCTTTGAATATCATTTGTATATATGGTATACAGTACAGGAGTGAGAACGCAGCCTTGTGGTGCCCCTGTGCTTATTTCTCTGGTTAGAGATACTTGTTTATTTACTTTGACATATTGTGGTCGATTTGTTAAAAAGTTCAGTATCCAAGCCTGAATATTGAAATTGACACCTAACGAGGAAAGTTTCTTTATCATAAGGTGTGGTTGGATGGTGTTAAATGCTGATGAGTAGTCTAAGAAAAGCACTCTGGCATATGTTTTAGGACTGTCTAGGTGATGGTAAAGTCTCTCCAACAATAGCAAGACTGCGTCCTCCGTACTTCTTGCAGGTTTGTAAGCAAATTGGTGGGGGTCAAGTTTTTGCTGTACTTCATTCAAAATTTCTTTCAGAATTATTTTCTCAAAACATTTCATGACAATAGAGGTAAGTGCAACAGGTCGTAAGTCGTTGCACGTTACCTTAATTTTCTTTGGAATTGGTATGATTTCTGAAGTTTTCCATATTGCTGGTAGTGTGTGAGTTACATAAGATTTATTAAATATGTAACAAAAAATGTAGGAGAGCTGCTCTGAACATAGTTTAATGAGCCGACCACTTAATTTGTCTTGAATTTAAATTGTTAGTAGAGAATAATTGTTTTTTCCCTGATATATTTTTTCTTTCAATACTTTTTTAGCTTTAATGAATTCTTGATCGTTAATCTTAAACATGATCTTCTTGTGGTGGATGGCCTCCTTCTTGTGGTGGATGGCCTCCTTCTTGTGGTGGATGGCCTCCTTCTTGTGGTGGATGGCCTCCTTCTTGTGGTGGATGGCCTCCTTCTTGTGGTGGATTGCCTCCTTCTTGTGGTGGATGGCCTCCTTCTTGTGGTGGATGGCCTCCTTCTTGTGGTGGATGGCCTCCTTCTTGTGGTGGATGACCTCCTTTATTTCTCTGCTCATCCAGGGTTTGTTGTTGTTGAATACTCGGATTGTTTTTTTGGGAATAATTTCGTCTACACAGAACTTAATGTAGGAATTGATGGTGTTTGTTAGCTCGTCAATGTCCGGCCAAGTGTTAATAAACGTGTCCCTGTCTGTACATTCCAAGCAGGCCTGAAGTTTTTCTGTCGCCTCATCTGACCACAGTTCAATAGTTTTTTATTGAATTTTTTTTGTTTTTAAAACTGGCTTATAGCATGGCGTTAGGCGGACCATTATGTGATCGGATTCTCCTAGAGGAAATAAAGCACGACATGTGTAGGCCTTTTTTATATTTCTATAACACATATCCAGAGTTCAGTCTAGTCGTGTGGGGCAAGTAACATACTGGATGTAAGTTGGCATGGATTTATTCATTGATAGTTGATTAAAGTCCCCCATAACAAGACGAACGGAGTCTGGGTTTTTTTTGTTTCAAAATCATGGATTACATCCAAAAGTCTCTCAGCAGCCTGCTCCTTGTTAGCATTAGGTGGCATGCAAGTAAAGATGATACATATTCGGGTGAACTCCCTAGGTAGGTAAATGGCCTTAAAGTAATGCAGAGTAATTCTATGTCGGGTGTACAAACTACATGTTTCACTGTACTGTTGTTGATGCTACAGTAGTTTTTGTTGACATATATTGCCAATCCCCCTCCCTTGATACAACTCCATGAATATAGCTATTTATAAAATCAATTTTTAAAATGTTTAATTAAATATTCTAAAATGACTTAAAATTACATAATTATCCAACTAGATAAAGAAATTAACTTTTTTTAATGCTATGGGGTTAATATTTTTAAAATAAACCAACCATGCTGATCTCTGATTATCTATCTTTTAATTAATACAAACAACACACACATAAAAAAAACCACCCTCAAATGTTTGAAAAAAAAAAAAAAACTAGTTCTTTGCTACACACCTAGGGATGCAGAGCAAGTAGAAAATGGACTCACGTGAAACGCTTTAATATGACTCACATCAAAAGCTTCATAGTCATCATAGCCGTCGGAGACAGAGTCGCTCTCGGAGTAGCCGTCTTCTGATGACGCCGTGTCCGTGTCCGAGTCCTCATTGCCCGAACTTGGGTGCTCTAGCAGCCAACTGACCAATGCTTCCACCGTTGGTGTTTCCATTCCTGATAGTAAGCCCCCTGCTGCAGAAGAAAATGGTCAACAAGGCTTTTTTTTTTTATAAGTGACTCAGAAACATGGCAACTGACTTAACATCAAACACAACTTCAGTTGAACAGTGACTTTACTTAGTACCAATATGAACATCAGTAAATGAGTTTTTTCAGTATTTTCTGCTTGACCGTCCATCTAAGATAACTGACCTAGTGCCTTGACAGCAGTCTCCACATGTTTCCTGGAAAAACCCATCTCAATCAGCTGCACAACAATAGGGGAAGGGAGGGGCTGCGACGATCTTAACTTTTTCATCTTGTTCAGTCTCAATGAAATGGATGATGGGGGAGCTGGGTTACAGGATGCCCCCACGGTGGAGGCGGTTCCACCGGCCGTGGCACCACCGCCAGATGCCACAGTAGCTGGAATGTGGAAGTCGTTGTCATCCTCCTCCTCACTGGTGTCATCCACTTCTAGATCTGTGGTGTGTTGACCTAGTTCTGAGATCAGGTGCTGGCAAGCTCCTAATGCTGAGGCCTGTGGGTCACAGGTAGAGATTGTTATATAAACATTAGAGTCCTGTAGGTGCCAGGTAGAGATTGTTATATAAACATTGATTATTGCAACTTATTGTAATATGAGGATAAAACAATGTGCCCTAGCTGAAGCCTGTAGGTCACAAGTAGACATTGTTATATAAAAGTTGATTATTGCAACTATAGACATGTAGAGTTGTGATTATTCCAGCCAGTGGAATGAACCATTGGCCCAGTAAATTTATTTTGGATCATTCATTTCTTCTTTTTTTCACATTTTGGACATAGATGACAAAATTTATTTGTGCATCAGCAGTAGACTATTAATCCCACACCAGTAAAATTGCCATTTACAAAATGAGTAGAGTTTGAATTTTACACTTCACTTTCTTTATAAAACACAATAAATAAAGGACTACGTTCCAGCTGTGTGAATGAGACAGTAGGACAAGGTATGTGGAAGCTGGAATCAAAAGACAGGACAAGAAGATGTGAAACAGTTATAAAACAGTTGCTGTTTTACATGCAAGCAGATGGATAATTTAAATCTATCTGAGAATAGGATTGTAATTGCAGCGGCAAGTGCATCAAACCATTACCTCCATCTCGTCCACACCGAACAGGGCCTTGAGGGGTGAGGGCTGCGTGGCCGTCATGAGAAGCTGCTGCAGCAGTGTCACCCTGGTGGGTCCGTCCCCCGCACCTTCCTCCTCTGTGGGCGGCGACACATCCGCAAAGCCGCTCTCCGGCGGAATGGCCTGGGAGAGGATCTGTCTCAGCACGTCCTGGTGGCTGAACAGCTTGGCCATGGCACGCAGGAGACACAGGCGGATGTACTGCTTGCGAAGCTCTTTGAACGTCAGATGATTACCTGCCGTTCCAGTTTAGTCAAATACATTAGCACAAACGAAGAAATAGAATAGAATAATTAAATAACCAAATAAATGGAATAAACACAGGCGGATGTACTGCTTGGGAAGCTCTTTGATTACCTGCCGTGCCAGTTCAGTCAAATATATTTAAAAAAACGTAGAAATAGAATAGAATAATTAAATAAGCAAATAAATGGAATGAGAAAGATTATAAAGCTGAACACATCCCTTAAATTTCTCACACTAGTTTCTCAGTTTTTTTATTAGAAAATGTTCTGAGATATTTGAATTAGTTGGAATATCTCCAGAGCAAATAGCAACAGAAACTATTTGGAAAGACAAATTTAAGTAAACTAATAGTAAGATAATAAAATGATCCAACTATCATTATTTTAAAGATATGAAACAAAACATAAAAACATAAAAGCACTGACTGCAGCTATACAGGTTGCATCCCTTTTAGAATGTGAATAGTACAGATATAAACACAGGCATAGAGAGGCTGCAATATTTGGCCAAACATCCACAGAGACATGTACCTAATGAGTCAATGCTGCCTGTGCTCGTGGCCAGAGGTGCCCGTGGTGTTGCATCCTTGTCTCGGTCTGTCCTGACAGCTGCACACGCCAGGCTGCACAACACGGCCCAGTTGGAGAGTGTTTCATCATTTAGTGGCATTCTCTCCACATGGAAGTCAACCAATGGGATCTGGGTAAACAGAATGATTTGATGACGATATTAAAAGATCTTCAGCTCCAAATTGTTGATGGCTTTTTTTTTTTTAAAGAATAATTACAAGGTGAAATATAAAAATGCATCATTTCAATAAATTCACCACTTACCCCTGTCAATATATTCACCACTTACCCCTGTCAATATATTCAACACTTACCCCTGTCAGTATATTCAACACTTACCCCTGTCAATAAATTCAACACTTACCAATGTCAATATATTCAACACTTACCCCTGTCAATAAATTCAACACTTACCAATGTCAATATATTCAACACTTACCCCTGTCAATATATTCAACACTTACCCCTGTCAATATATTCAACACTTACCCCTGTCAATATATTCAACACTTACCCCTGTCAACTCAGAGAGTCTGCACAAACATGATTTCCCAAAGTTGAACTGGACCAGAAGTTTTCCCTTGCTGGTTATTTTTGAAATGGTGCCCAGTCCATGCTCTTCATGTCTGACCAAACTGCCCAACCGAAGTCTGGAATCCACTCCGCCAATGACAGCAAGTGCTGCCACCATCAAAGCAGTCTGGTTGTTTTCTCCATCAGCCTCAATCTAGCCACAAATGAGGTGAAGCATTGTAACACAAAGTTTTTAATTATTTCAAAAACAATATGCAGAGCAGCATGACAGTGCGGACAGTTATTCTTTTATGTAAACCTAAGACAACTAAGGACAGTTTCTATTATTTTTTTTAACCTAAGGCATTTAGATGATCAGAAAAAAGTAGGTAGGCATTTCTGTTAAACATTTTAATTGAAATTTTATTTAGTTTTTAAATAGTAATTTCAAATAGTGATTTCAAATTCAACAAAAAAATTTTAGACTAGATTTCAAAAGGAAATAAGAAGAATATTTGTACTAAGCATTTTCTAAATTTTTCTTCCAGGAAAGATGCATTCTAAACAAGGGACTAAAAGTAAGAGAGATTAACAGAACAAGCTGAGTAAGAGATCCAGTCTCACATGATGAGTTCTCCTCTCAGCAAGCAGGGACACGATGTTGGGCAGCTGTCCAGATATGTATTTGTTGACAGCACCACTCCATATGGGGAGGGTGTGTAGGCGTCGTATGAGAGCAATGATCTCCTCTGCCACTGTGCTCGTGTAGGTGGCCGTCATGGAGACAGGAATGCTGTGTTTCTTATCATCGGGACTCTCGGCTGTGGTATGTATTGAAATTAAGAATAAAAAAAATTAGAGTGGAGTGATAAGTGATTGGCTTAACCGTGGAGCTTGTGCAAGTCAGAGCAATTCAAATGTTTACTTTTATACGAAGTTAGAGGGATTCAAATGTTTACTTTTATGCCAAGTAAGAGGAATTCAAATGTTTACTTTTATGCCAAGTAAGAGGAATTCAAATGTTTACTTTTATGCCTTTTCAGAGGAATTCAAATTTTTACTTTTATGACTAGTCAGAGGAATTCAAATGTTTACTTTTATGCCTAGTCAGAGGAATTAGAATGTTTATTTTTATGCCTTGTTTGAGGAATTCAAATGTTTACTTTTATGCCAAGTTAGAGGAATTACAATGTTTACTTTTATGCCTAGTCAGAGGAATTCAAATGTTTATTTTTATGCTTTGTCAGAGGAAACCAAATCTCAAATTTCTATAAAATTAACTTTGTTAACTTTAGACGACGGAAGAAGTAAAAAATGCCAAGATCACAGATCATTTGCTGTTCATGCTAAATTGCCTTATTTTAAAGTTTCTAGTGTATTTCAAGTATCAATCTAGGTGATATTGTTTTAAATCATTTTGGCATACCTCAAAAACCTCAAAACATTTTTAAATAACTTAACTCTTTCGATGCCGAACAACGCACACCGCATTCATCCGCCGTTCTCAAAAGCACGGACCAGCGCGCTGTGCGTTGTTTCAATATCATATTTGTTTCTTTGCTATTTCTCGGTTAAACTTTTTAAGAGCTATTTTTAAATAATACTTTTACAAAGAAGAGTGGTACTTTATTGTTAATAAGCGAAACCAAGGTTTATTTGTTGTAATTTGGAGCATTATTTTAATGATTTTCTTCGCTTTTTTTTTTACTGTTGCTATGGCTACTCTAGGCCCTAGTAGGTGAGTAAGTTTCCTAGACGACTAACGGATCAAAAAGCTTTGGAAATGTTTTATACTATTTCTTTTGATAGCGAAGATTATTTACATTTAGAGCCATCACAAGATTCCGATAGTAGTAGTTTTAGAGGATTTTAGTTATAGAAATGAAGATGAGGTATGCGTACATCATAGGGTATGGGAAAAAAATTGTTGTTTACTGTTATTAATTTTATTTAAACTGAAAAAATAGCTTACAAACATATAGTCCTTTCATTTATATTTCATTTGATACTAAGTTTAGTCTTATAAACCAAAGAATAATATTTTTAATATTTTTAATAAACCCAACCTCTCACTTTTTTTCACTCTTTGAAAAAAATGTACATTTTTTAAATAAAAATATGCCGCAGCGAAAGAGTTAAAAAGGTGCTCACCCAAGGAGTTCAAGGTCATGTCAGTAGCACAGCCCATGAGTATGGTCCCCAAGAGTGAGAAGAGCCTGTTGACCAGCTCCACCACCCGAGCCCCATCCATGTAGAGATCCCAGGACGGCAGGACTGCTCTAAGTAGCTTTAGTATGAGGATCTGCAGGGATTGGCCATCATTAAATTAACATCTGCCTCACAGTAAATATCAGGCTGTATTTCAATCTACTTTTAAAACAAACTATGTTATAAAACAGAGGTCAACAACCTTTTGGTAATATTGCGCCAAATTAGGATTTCTATATCATTCAGCTTGTGGGGGAACAGTACACTGTCTAATTGTAGATTCCCTTGGTATGGCCACACACAAAAAACCTATGTAAGAGTCTAGACCTCTGTTGCTGTCTCCTAGCCCCTACAAGGATCATGTGTAGTGGTGAAGTCAAATAATCACAAGACAGTTTAAACATTATGATTTATTTATTGATTAATATACTGTGTGGAACAGGGACCACACTATGACTGCCAAGTAGTTACTGCCGTTCACAATAGAAACATGTGTCCAAAAAGAACCTCTCAGTGAAGATATTATCACAGCATGTCCATGTAACACATCTACTCTGACATGGCGTGGGAGCTTATTTCTTATGCTGTGGGTTATGTCAGTAGTATGGTTACTTATGTTATGTTGATATTTCAGGATGCCGACTAAGGCTTCTTCTTTCTTCCACTTATAATCCGGGCACGCAAATAAGAATACTGAATCCTGGTTAAACTTACAGTACTTTATTGAACACACTTTATATTGATAATATTAATAAATAATCCTTGCATGAATGTAATTTCATATATATATATCCATAGTATTCCATCATTAAGAAAGACACGTCCTCACACT